GGTTATTGTAACATCACAAACTATTCAGATAATTAAATTGCTAAGAAGTGTAATGTAACGGAACGTAACCTTACAATAGTTGATCATATTTACTCGATGTCATAGTGAGTCATTTAGAAAATTCTATTGAATACGCTCCAACTTATGTACTCTCTGAAAATTTATACACGAAATACAAGCCAGTACTGTACTACCAAAATGTATACACATACCGTAGTTCTTATATAGTTGATAGGAAAGTAAGTGACTGTTCATTTTGTCATTTACGTCCATTTTCTCATATGGCAAGTCAAGTTGTTCTATTGATAAGAGAGTTTTCATAAAAAATACTTTAGCATCAAATAGACACACATATTTACTAAAAGAGGATTAAATTTGAAACGTTCATTTGGTAAGGATCAGAGTAGGTGAATAAATAACTAGCCACTTGTTAAACAATAAACTTATTGCTTTTAGGGATTCGCACGTAAAATATACTGCGACGTAACCACATCTTTAGCTTTTGTTCAACTGATATCTCGAGAAGTTCTACTATTACTACTTTTATTATCTTATATATAATATAAAATATACATAACCTCCTAAATATGATATACTATTACTTATCGTAAATTTACTTTAATGGGTTTTATGAATATAGAGATAAATAACCTGTACCTACAGGTTTATAATACGGCTAAAGACATGGGATTATTCAGAACATTTCAAAAATACTTGCCGAAATCATGCCACTAACAAATCTGTAGACTCGGTATACAAAGGATAAGCACGATTTTTACTCAAAGTTATCCATAGTACTTAACCATTGCCCCATTCAAGAGCAAAGAAGTAAACATTAGACTGTTTTTTGCCACTACAAGACGATCAAGAGACATACGGCTTTATACTGGAGTTCTTTTGAAGGTTTTAATATGACCCTATCAATCAAGAGACTATTATTTGCTTTGATTTTCTCTTAATAAAAACAGACATATTCTGACCAAAACTTTGACGCATAGTTCTGGTGAGATACAAATCTAAAACGCTCTACAGGTTAGAACTATTTATCTGCTTGTCAGCTGGTTCGGAAACATTTAAGACAGGCTCTTCTTCAATGAAATAATTTTGCCTATCAACATATTATTCATTTACGATGCTAAAATACATTAACTTGCCATTATTTATGTATTCACAAACCATTTGTTTCTATTTATTAATTCTTTTACGGACTAATTGGTCATGTGAAGTTGATTATCGATTTTAACCTAATCACTGCAACGCATTTTCGTATGCAGACATAAATATGGATATATTTCTATTTACAATTGTGTGTGAACTTGTTTTATAAGTTTTCTATACGCGAAAGTAAATAATGTGAGTAAGGCATCGTGTCAGTCAAAATGGAAAGTATTAGATAACGTGAACAATCAGGAAGAAGTTTTAACCACGTTGTAGAAATCGATCCAGTTAATCCAGTGGGTATATCAGAATAGATAAGATATTAAGTCTCATCAAACTAGTTTATCAGTTATTTCTTTCACTCTCAATGCCATTATTTTTAGAAAACAAATTCGCATATCATAATTTATGTTGTAAACTATGAATAATAATAATAAAACGACTTCATAGAAAACAAGTTAAGGCTTACTTCTAGTGTTGTGAAGCAATTTTGATAGCCCACCCCATCTCGATAGGCAAAATTGTTGTTGCTGTAAATAAGTCCCAAGCAAATCACTAGTGCTACATTATTGCTCAGTTTTCACTGAGCTTCTAAATTAAAGTATCACTTACTTAAAATCCAAATGGTCTTTAATATAAAGCGTTATTCTCGAAATAGAATATCCTATTAAAGTCACTACATCTTTGAGATTGCTTTGACCTAATTTGTTAAAGTAAGGTTTAGGTGTTTTCTCAGGAATATTTTGAACTGTTGTGGGTGAGGTTAATTAAAATGGTCATATAGTACCTGGTTAGGATATCCAGCACGATCCAATAATTAGGCTACTAAAAACGGTTTTAGAAGCAAAACTGTTATAAAATCTCCAAAGTTTATACTTTGAGCTGAACAACTACCGTGTTTAGTAGTTTTAGTCACTATCTAAGATTGAGGATCTGATTCTTATTGCTGTAAAGCCATTTTTGAAATGTGGCAACTAGTTTCATTCCTACTTGAGAGATAATTGTTCTTTTCAGTGGAAATTTAGCCAAAATGATCAGATTGTGCATCGAGAATAAATAATAGTGTCATAGTCTAAACCGTCTTTATTTTAAAGAGAAACTTTGGCGAAAAAGCTGATATATTATGAATCTATGGGATTAACATGCACATACCAACAGTTCACCTATAAACACAATCCGAAATTAACGCATAAATTATACCTATTAATAATCTTTGTGCTTAATAAATTTATATGTTATATTTAGTATATGTCGCATTGATTGAGGTTGGTTTTATGATATATCAATTTAAATTAACTGTCGCATCACTTACTCAAAGGCGAAATAAACTAGCTTTATCAAGTGTAAATCAATGTCAAAATGAATAAAAAGTTATTTTAATCAATGTGATTCTACAGTTTTGTAACAATTGTCCTAGTTAACTTAGTCTAAGGATCAGGAAAGTCGCTTATCCTTTGATATATTATCAATTAGCAGTGTGCTAGATATTTATAGTGTTCTGTCCATATTGAATCTGCATGCATGTATTTACTACCGGCATTCCGTTTATGACTTACTATGAGCAAACGAATTGTGTTTATAAGGTCATGTATCCACATTTCAAGTGTACTGGTAAATTATGAAAAGCAGAATGATAATGATGGTTATAATAAATGCATTTAGAGGGATGGCTAAATATGGTCATATCTAATGCATGTAAATTGTAGAAGCGTTTGTTTTATAGCATCATTATCTGGAATCTAAATTTTCTTTAAATTTATTTATATATTTACATATAATTTTCATGGACTGTTTTTATCATCGTTTTAAAAACAACGAAGGAATACTTCAGATTTTCGTAGACATAACTGTACCACACATTTCTTATCTTAAGGTTCAAGTTAGCCACTGTAACTAAAATGTACCAAGGCTCAATTTTTGGGTTTACACTATTATTAGTCTATACACTGTATATGAAATTTCCGAATCCCATTAAATGGAAAGGCGTTTAAAATGACAGGTACTGCGTTTAGATCACAGTGTTGAGTCTAGCCATCAAGTCCAGAATGGAATGAGATATGGATTTAGAATTCTATTTCTGACTTCCAGACAAATTTGTTAGATCCTGTGACGAAATGGGAATAGAGACTAATTCGTTGCATCACTACTTATCGAAAATTTTAGCGCCTATCTAGACTCAGCAGCTTCTCGGATGAGATACTGGCGTTTGAAGAGACAGGTATAGGGTCCGAAACTGAACAGTGAAATGCAGGTAAATCCACTTAATGAGGATAAAACACAATGAAAATATGTCCAAGATCCCATTGTTAGTTATAGTTGAGTAAAGCTGATCTTTTCTCCATTTATATATAGGCTTGCAAGTTAATTAAAAAAACGCATATTTCGTATGAAATTTTAGAAGTTACGCTTTTATGTCATTTAAACTTCGTATTTCTTGTTTACACTTCTACAGAAATTAGTAACTTTTGAACGCTATTCATTTTGCGATATTAGTTATAAACTTGGTGTTTTTAAAATTATTTATATTACTTTATGTTCATTTCGACTATGAAGCAATGCATAAAGCAACTACTGAGCCATGTAATAAATTGATAAGTGCTTAGTTATCGGTCAGTGATAATAACATTTAGGTAGATTCCGATTTTGTTTCTCATAACGTATAATCCGCATTCAACTATAATTTAGTTAGTTATCGAATAATTATTATAACTCTAATTATTTGTTTATGTTGGCCATGGCCTACTAATCAAAATACTTGATCTGGTTTTAAAATTGTGTTGATTATGTAGTATAACTTCAAAGCAAGTGAGGATAGTGTGGTTACTACTCCCGGTGTATATTTCAGTTTCTGGTGTTATAAAAAGCTCCGTACCTGGTGCATTGCGTGCTGATCCACTAATGCAATTGATATTTTATTGTAAGAATAGCTTAGATAAATTAGGGAAAATAACGATTTATCAAGTTTTGTAAGCTGTATATTAGACTAACAGAAAAAGTTTGGTTCTCTCTACGACTCTATATTTATTTTACTGATGCGTTAAAAATTTTACGATCAGCTCATTTCTGTTCGTTGTTGTCATTGGCTGACAATTGATGCTTAAATTCGAAAATAGCTTAGAGAGAAGTTAGACGGTCAGGGGTAGCAAAATACGTTCGCAAAACTACTAATTTATCCAAGTTTTTGCATAACGTGCTAATCGGGAGTTTCAATCAATCTGCTTAATAGGGAGCATTGTGTGTTATATGCGTCACAAAAATTATTTAGTGATTATCTTGTCTCTCTTACCTTCTTTGTCTCCGTAAAACAAGATATTTATCTAACAAATCAACAATAATCAATGATTCAGTTCTGTTACACATAACCCAGTGCATAACAACTTCCTCTGCCGAATTTGATACATCCTTCACTGATCTAGTAAACAGTTGATTATGCGTTAGTGAAAGAATCTTAAATAGTACAGCAACAATAGACCTAAGATAAGAGAAAGGAAATGTTTCATTCGATTGAACATTACAAGATGATACTTTATGCTTATCAGAGAGAGTGATGGAGAGGAATGTGTGGATGATTTAAATATTCTAAACAAAAACAGACTGAGGTGGGTTATGCACTTCATAAAGTTAGTTACTTTGTAGGGAGAATATATGTGTTCTTTCTAATGATCTGTATATTGCGACCAATATAAGATTTCGAAACATTATCATGTGTTTTAGTTTGAGTCTCTATTTATGCCCAAAACAGTAGCAGGAAATTGAGGCTTGTTACTATATGCAGTTACTAACACATATTTTTTATTACTTTAGGTTTCTAAATATAGTGGAAACTAACCAGTTTTCCAAAAATGATTGTTCCTAGTGTGACTATGTGTTCGTTTCAATCTGAAAGTTGTAGCTCAAGCGATTCAAAACTATATTTCGGAGAAGTTAGTGGCATTTCAAATCAGGATTTAAATTATCGGCACGTAGATACGCAAAGAACGAAGGCGTATGATGGTTTACAGTTAAATAAAAGTATGAACTCTAGTATTAGGACTGCAAACAGTTTGTCGCAGTCAAGATTGGAATCTTGTGATACTGCAAATGATGATGCATCCAGTAAACAGTTGGTTTCTAGCATTTGCATGTCACCTGATTCAACTAATTTATATACCTCCAGTTCATACTGCCGTACTTCAGAACAACTTTCACACGAAACCTCACTCAGATCTATTGAGAAAAGTAGTACAGATTGTTCCGAATCAGGTGAACACAGTTTCATATCAGAGTACCAAAAAGAAAAACTTATCCCAAATGGTGCTGGGAGAGCATATCTACATATGGATCGAAAAAGCGGAAGTCATATAAATCAGAATGAAGCGAAGGATTTTTCATCTATTCTTACGGATAGCCTACTTAACATCGACACATTACCTGAATCAATTAAGTCGGCTCCACAACTATCATCTTACCTAAATGAGGATCCAATTCAACGTTTTCATGCACGCCACTATGATAAACTAAACCAGTATATGGTGTTTGTCCACAATTATCTTCCCATTCCAATTGCAATTACTGTAGAAAAGTGTCAAGGATCAAAGGTAACAGCTTATATATTGAGTAAATATAGCAATATGCATATGAGAAATGCTCTCACTTTAACAGCCAAATCGATGAAATGTAATTCTAACAAAGACAGAAGTAAACCTTTGCAAAAAACATGTTCAAATTTAATTCTCCATTTCGCTTGTCAAAAGCATTATTCTCAATGTTTATACCCTGGATCTCTTCATAACAGATGTTTTAGTGTGAAAACAAAACATTATGTCTTTTGGATGCAAGTATGTCAGTTACACTTAGATAATTTACGATGATAACAGTTATTACAAAAGCAGGAATTAATATGATAATAGAGCTTTATATTATAAGCCTATTTCAAATCTTCTAACATTAGTGGATTGCTAGGAAGCGAATTTATAAATAATTTCGTGTTCTATCAGTGTTGGTAGTTCGGGACTGATAGTGTGCTTCAAGGCTCCTACCTTTTATAATATTCACTTGATTAAACGATAAACCATTACTATTCATTTTATTTGCAATCATCAAAATAATTTTACATACTCCCCATCACCTGTCACTTGGTCATTGTCATATGTTTTGTCCTGTTTAATTATAGCTATAGCAATTAACTACAGTAATTAATAGCTATTACTTGTAATCGGTTTTATTATATATATATATATATATATATATTGAAATGGTGGATAAAATCTGTAGCTCAGGTGGATGATTGTGGTGGCGTTTCGTTCTCTGAGCTGGATAGTTTGGTTGTGAAGCTTTCATTGTTCTTCTGAACAACATCATCAGCACAAACTTCAGATAGAAGTGAAGCATTCGAATTTCTCCATGTTTGACCTGTAGCTTGTTCTGCTAACCTCGATCTTGATTGGTTGCTGTTGACCTTAAACCTGTCCTCGTTTTCACCTTTGTTTTGATTGTATCCCTCTTTTGATCTGTTTCTTGATCCTATGTCACCTATGATTTTTCCGATTGGTTGATAAATTGGGTCAATGTTTATGTGTTTGTTAACTGCTGATTGACCTGTGCCAAGCTTCTAAAAATTCTCTAGTGTTCTTTGTCCTCCCCCTACCCAGTATTTCCACATTGTTCCAATCAAATGTATGTCCATCATCGTCGGTGTGTATTGATATAAGCGAAGATTTGTCGTGGCATTCGGCTGCTAAGTGGTGATCACGTAAACGAAGCTGAAGAGGCTGTCCACTTTGTCCTATGTAGTGTTTTTCACAGTCTGAGCAATTTATTTTGTAGATGATATTTAGTTTTTCTTCCTTGTCATTTTGTCCTTTGGTCTATATAGGATTGACTGAAGTGATTCTGCTGGTTTGTGTGCCACACCTACTCCAAACGGTTTCAGTAGTCATGCTGTATGCTCCAATATGTATGGTAGGATGATCCGTTTATTGGTTCCTGTACTTGATTTCACTTCTGTTGATGATTTCGGTTGTGTTTTTGACGAAGTTACGTGAATAGCTGTTCTTTTGGAAGATAGTCACAATATGTTTTTCCTCGTTTTATAGTGCTTCATATGTGCTGCAGTATGTCTTCGCTCTCTTGAACAAAGTTTGTATACAGTTGATTTTGTGGGTTCTTGGGTTGTTGCTACTGTAGTTCAGAATTACAACTGTGTGGGTTGGCTTCCGAAATACTGGAGTTTCTAGTTTCCCTGTGTTAGTTCTGGTGATTAGTATATCCAGGAATGATAGGCTGTTGTTTGATTCCTTTTCCATGGTGAATTTTACGTCATCGAAGACGTTGTTAATCCGGTTGTAGATGTTCTCCAGCTCGTTCCTTTTGATAATGACGAATGTGTCGTGGTGACATAGGATCAAGAAACAGATCAAAAGAGGGATACAATCAAAACAAAGGTGAAAACGAGGACAGGTTTAAGGTCAACAGCAACCAATCAAGATCGAGGTTAGCAGAACAAGCTACAGGTCAAACATGGAGAAATTCGAATGCTTCACTTCTATCTGAAGTTTGTGCTGATGATGTTGTTCAGAAGAACAATGAAAGCTTCACAACCAAAATATATAAGAAGGTTTCGTCTTATACCTTCATTGGCTAAGTTTTCTCCTCTTATTAAGTTCTGCTGCTTCATTGAATCATTACTGTCATCACGATCACTATCTTAATTAACGGAAATATATAAAGTGTCGTTGGAAGGCTAAATAGATTATAGTTTACTAAGATATGTGCACACAAAAGCCTCAAGTATATAGTGCATAGGATAAACTCAGCTCGAATCGAACAAAATAATATTGAAATGCCTAATTTTGTTTCACAGTTGTTGGTCCTGGAAGTACAGTTTCACCATGCGAAACCTGTTCACATAACACATCCGTCAATGTGCCTGTTACGTAATTTGTGGAGTGAACTGATAAGTGACAACTTACATAATTTATCGTGCAACGAAAGTGATATAAACCCATTGAAAACCTATGGCTTCAGACGATGTAGCAGGAATAATAGTGGAACATCTGGATCAGCATCTGTTTTTGGTTACCCAATAAGGCAGCCAGAAGTCCTGACAAACAAAGAATTACGTACAGAATCTAAAATACGAGCACGGAATTCATTCAAGATAAGGTCGAGGAAAAAGCAAAAATGCCAATCAAGTTTCTTCTTTCTAGCCACCCACTCTTATCCAACGATTGAACATCTTGATAGTCTTTTGAAAGAGCTTAAAGAAACTGGTTATTTTGCACTCTTTCAAATGCAGGAAACAAAAATGTCGGTAAGTGATTTAATCGAAATAAATTATAATGCCATAAAATTTATGATACTTCTTGACCAATGTTATTTAGAAAATAACAATAATCTCAGTTGCTTATTTTGTCTATAGACGTTTAAAAAATAGAAATCCAAGAGCTCGTAATTTAAGTGCGTAAATTACGATTAATATTACAGTTAGAATTTTTGTCATCCATTATTCCAGAATACACATAAGTAAATTTATAGTTAATTAAATCAAAATACAAGCATTTATATACAGGGAATAGGAGTAGCGAGAAGCGAAGCATTACCAAATGAACTCATTTAAGCAAAGGATTTCACCACACTAATTAAGAGCAATACAAAACAGAGAAGCTGAATTGACCTTGATAATTTAAATGAAGATAAATTGGCAATTACGTAAGTCACTAAGGAAATGAAATAGTAAATAAGCTTTTATATAATACTAGTTCATGAATAACAGGTGTAGGAGAATTTCCGAGAAAATCCAACTCAGTATATAAGTTATGTGTATAAGTTCTCGTGTAGACTAAACCTTACAATATTTCGTTGGAGAAAAAACGGCAGAAAGCATGTTAAAATCTTGGAAAAAATAAAGGGTCGAATAACAGTTTAGAACTTTTAAATTAGTACTTCTCTAACGACAATTTGTAGCGGAGATACATGGGAAATCGACTTCCTTGAACAGATACCAATTTTCTCGAGTCGAAAAAACTTTTCAACACAAAAATAATTATGGTCATTGCAATCTTTCAGCTCAGTGCTAAAACTGTGCAAATGAATCAAAAGTAAGGAGTTTCAGCTTAGGGACAAATAGTTTTATGATCCTGATAAACTATTGAATGACTAAATGCAGAAATGTTTCACATATGAAATAGAGCAGATCATGATCAAAGTACTTCAGATAATTTCTTTTCGACTTGGCAAGTGGTATATGGCAATTAATAATATCTTTAAATTGAGAAAACGTTTGCAAATATCCTGTGTATATAATGATCATTCTATTCTTATATAATGATGCGTTTTTTAAAACTGTAGTTTAACTAATATCATTTGTTTAAACAGAAAGGATATTCCTCACGCGTAGAATGGGACTGTTTTGTTTGCGCAAGTGGTAATGGAGTTTGGAAGGATCATTGTGCAGAAAGTTCAGGCATAATAGGAATTAACGGAAGAAGTCAAGACATCTCTGCACAGAAAAACGTATTCAACTTATATTATGAGCTCAACCCTTTAAATCCACGATTAACTGGCACACTAAAGATAAAACATATCAAAATTATTCCACGCGCATTAGCCTGGATAACGAGTTGGCAGGTACAAGAATTTAAGCTAGAAAATGGATTCATTGCGTGGAAGAACTATCTCGAAGCTAAACATAAAATCAGTTGGCCAACGTTACCTAATTTCAGAGATTCTAGAGAAAAGTCAAATACACAGTCATTCTACAAAAATGTATCATCGATAAAAACTAGAGTAAGTTGAACGCCGTACCATGAATAATTAGTAACTAAGCATCTATACTAAAATAATACAGCATACTGATATGCTTCCGAAGATAATGCTTTTATCATAAAAGATTTCAGAAGCTTAACATCTACGAAGGGATATACCTAAATTATAATAAGTAGCTGATGAAGTTCTATTTAATGAAGATGATGATAAGATGGAATGAACGTCTTGAACAACATGACGGTCCCTTCGCCTCTAAATATAAAGCTTTTCTCCAGAACTGATGGCATTGCTGGTTACTTTGATTGTAGAGAGTGAAGCAGTTGAAGGCGTTGACCATAATATTTATTTTAAAAGTACTATCAATGCTAGTGTGTCAACAGATGATGAAATCTACATACGGATTCAAGACGCTTGCTGTCTTTCTTTAAGACTATGAAAAGAAATCTTTGAAATAAGAGGACATTCGTAGTTTATTGGTATTTGAAAACGGATGTCTTTGAAATATTGCTTGAGAATGAATAAACAACAGCAGATTGAGTAATGGTGAGGTAAGATCAACGACTGATGTTGCTGAAGCAAATTTTATACATCTAACTTATTGTGGCACAACAGTTGCTGCAATAAAGTTAGCGGGAAACAATAGACAATGTCAGATAATACGAAACAATATTGATAATGACTTAGATAGATTTTAATATTTCGGACAACAAGCATAGTTTTAAACAAACTCGAATAACTATAGTAGACTTAATGAAAGACGTAATCCACCATCCAGTTAGTCACCTACAGTGTAGGACGCCGTACGTACATACATCACTTCAAGTTGCCATACCACATCCGAAACCCATAGTCGTAGATATTGTAGAAATATTGGCGGTAATGGAGAAGATATGCCTCGAGAAGTATATTCCAGCGGAATCAATTTTCAAAAAAGAGAAGAAAAACAGTTATGAGGTAATCAGAAGATTAGAATTTGAGAGAAGACTAAGAATGGATGTACCTGAGCCGTTGCAAACGATTGCAAATCACGTCATTCAAAGTCTCTAACCATCGGTTGCTATTGTGTCGGGGAACCTAACCAGGTAGTCTACACCTACTAACGTGGCTCACTTAGTTTACTTGTCAATGAATTCATGGACTTGTGCCTTGTTTTTCCGCCCCTAGCTTTCTTCCCATCTACTTCTATACAAGACAAAATCGCCCGTCGACGTAGTCGGTGGTTGGGCATACGTAACACGTCCCAACCAAATAAACTGATGAAGGCTCACAAATTCACCAACTGATCTACCATCCTTTCCATTTACCATTTTCCTAGCCCTAAAATTTGCTTACTTGATGGTCCCAGGATAAACAAGCACTTCTCTGGAGACCTATGATCGAATACCGATGACCTCCGAATATCGTAGCTTATTAATGGCGATGTTTAACACCTGTATGCTAGGATGGAGCGTACTGATACGTAGCAGACGCGTCCTTTGCTTAGTCAACGAATATCTCGCCTACGAAATAAAGTAATAACTAACCGATATGAATGCATCCCGACCGTAGCTGCTACCTTGACGTGGTGGTCGGGCTTGCCTATCGTGATGACCCAACCGAGCTATATTGACTGGAGCATATATCCCTGTAGGTTCTACCATGCCAGGTCGATTGGAGAACGGTAAGACTAAAAGCAGATACTCAAGGTCTGAGGGCGAAGTCGTACTGCTGACTCTAGAGAGGTGTGACAGCAGTAAGGTGTTTCCCTCGGACAACCTGCATCTGCAGCAATGCTTCCTTCTCACAAGGAAGGAAGGGGTTAGAATAGGCCGACCCTAAAAATGTCACACCTCATCTTGTTGCACGGATTTCCGTCTTCGGCGGTAAGGCCTTTTAAAAAAGAACGAAGCTAACACTTTACAAACATCCAATAAGATTGCCGTGCGTGACCGGCCTTCATCAATTGTCCCTTGAGGTGTTTAGTCACGCTCCCAGGTCTCTAATACTTACATTAATCCAACGTCCTTAACTCTTCCATGATGTGGGCAGACGGGAAGTGACATTCGTCCTCACGCAAGTATCAGCATAGGAGACATAGTTAGTCACTCCTAACATCCCACACATCTCGACGAGTGACCCATCTCAAATCCCCTTATCACCCCATGCCACTAATGCGAACGCTTTGAAGTTTACCAGACGTTATTCCTGGTCTCTCAAAACGCCGCTCTAAACTAAATATTGGAGCTTATAATGTTCATTAGCTAGGACTCTAGAATCCCGTAAAATCGATGTATGCTGCGTCTCCAAAACGCGTAAATCATTGACTTTATTTCATCGTCTGCTGCAGCTATACTCAGAAAAGCGCTTGTTCCTAGCAAATACTAACTTTAAGGACAAGGAGAAACATCTTTTGATATGGCGACCCCCAAAGTCGTCCGACTAGATTATATCGCTATCAGCCACCAATGGAGGTATTCAGACAGAGACTATCGCTTGTTCTGGAGCACATGTTTGGACTAAGATCCTGCTCTGGCAAGAGCGCGTATTTGATTGTACGAAAGACACCACAAGCAAACCCGACAAGGCTCTACTTAATGATATAATAGCTAATTTCAAGAACAACTAGAAAAACAGTTCGGCGGCCATGTAACAGATTCCCATCCTAAGGCAGCTTGCAATAATATCCAAAAATGTGTGGAAACATCAGTGATTTCTGCTAGTAAGGTAAACCATAAGGGTAGGGAGAATCAATGGATCGCAGCAGCATCTACCGAACTAATAGATGCTCGGAAACATATCCTACCTGGCTCTGAACATGACGAAAAGCAAAGTAAGCTTTGGCACAGGCTGATGAGAAGCCTACACAATGATCGTGAACAGTGGTGTGCAGCGAAGGCAAGAGCAATAGAAAAGCCATCGGCGATCGGTAACAGTAGACAACTGTTCCACCTGAACAATGAAACTGGTATTAGGAATCCATCTGTTAGCGAAACTATCTCAGAAAGGATGGTCTTATTATTCATTCCCAACCCGGGAGATTGGATCGGTGAGGAGAACACCTCAGAGACTAATTCAACTGGCCTACGGCCACACTTCGGTTACCCACGATCTCCAGTGGCAAATCGATCTAAGTCCTCCAACTCTAAATGAAGCTGAGAAAGCTACAGGAAATAGAAAACGAAGGAAAGCAGCTGGCTCTGTTAGATTGATACCTGGGACTTTTAGGCATGGTGGTCCATTTTTAGCAGTCATATTGACGGAGATCTTAGGTAGGATTTGGGAGCTGGGCGTAATCCCATCTGACTGGTCTCAATCTATAAGAAAGGACTTAAATCCCCTTGTTATAATTACAGAGGAATCGGTCTAACTAATATAGTGTCAAAACTGTTAGCCTCGATAATACTTAGACGCCTAACCTGAGTTCGAGAAGAGCAGACTAGGGTAAACCAGGCTGGTTTCAGACCTGGAAGTGGATGTGTAGACCAAATGTTCGCACAACGTCAGAGCCTCGAACATAGACACACATTTCACTGTCCCACTATAGTTGTATTCCTTGACCTTAAAGCGGCATTCGACTCCGCTGATCATGAAGTTCTGTGACATGTCTGTCATTGATAGGTATACCAGAGAAGTAGGTTAACCCTATACAAGCTTTCTACTCGAACACTGCTACTCACGATTGATTACTTCAAGTGATATTCGTCAGGGTTGTCCACTCTCTCCATTCTTGTTTAACTTTGTGGTAGATATGCTTTTAGAGTTAACTTTATCTTCGTGTAACTTTTCAGGTGTGCACCTTCTACCAGGAGACGCGCTTGCTGACTTAGAGTATGCTGATGGCATAGTTCTATTCGTTAAAGATACTGACAAAATGCAGTCTTCTGACTACACTAAGCAACAATGCAAGCATGTACGGGATGCAGTTTTCTCCCTCGAAACGCAAAATGTTGCTTCAAGAATGGCTTGCATCGGCATCTGAACTAGTGATGGGGAGTGAATCACTTGGCTGTTACCGAATCGCGACACTTCTAGCATAGGTGAGATATCCACCAGCTAATCAAACGACAAGTCTGCTGCGCAGCAGTTCGCTCCGTCCTCCTATATGTATGCGAAACATGGCTCGTGAGAGTTGTGAATATGGGTAGGTTATTAGTATTCGATAGTAGATTTCTTCAAAGCATTGCTCGTGTACCGTGGGACGACCGAGTAAGCAACGCTGTCGTTAGGAAGAGTACTAGGTAGGAATGGTAAATCAATAGATGAAGTGTTGAAACTTCATCAGTTGATTTGGTTTGACCTTTGTTGTGTATGCCCAATCGTGGACTGCCTGGACGAGCGGTGTCATGTGATATAGGGGTAGATTGGAAGAAATCTAGGGGTGGCCAGACCAAAATACGGCACAAATCTATGAAGTCACTGACAAGTGTACTAAGTCATGTTAGTAAGTGTACACTACCTGACTGAGGTCGGTGAGACGTTGAATGACATAGCTCAAAATCGTTTGCGATGCATCCACTCTTTGCTTTCTCTCCAATTCTAACCTTCTGAATTCCTCATCACCTCTATGTTTCCTCTTTCTAAAGTTACCTCACTGAATTATATTTCTTGAATAATATCTTCGAACCCTAATCTTCTTCATTACCAGAAAAACTTCTAATACTTATACTACTATGGGATTTGAACTGAAAATTGCGTCTCTATGCTAATGTGGTATGGCAACTTGAACTGATGTACGTGCGTACATACGAACTTTTACGTTGTAACTGACTGTCTGAATGCTGAACGTCATCCCAAGAAGACTAAAATTTAATTATAAAAGTACTGATTTGTAAGCAAGTCAGAAATTTTACCGAAATTCGGCAAGTCTATTAACAGATAAAATGGACTGAATGCTGGTATTCCGGTTTGAAGAAGCGATTAGTTGTTGATCCGATCTACAGTAAATATTAGTAAATATAGCTGAGATAAGTCTTGACTATCAAATGAACTGCAAACAATAAAATGTCGAAAATACCTCGATTATTTCAACTTCTGAGCAATAAGACAACAATCATTTTATCTCACCCGGTAACCTAACTATTTTATAATCACCAAATAATCAAACCGAACTCTGACAGTAAAACATGTCTAAGTAGAGTATTTCGTCCACTTTTTCTAATTATTCCTCTATAAAATTCACAGACGGGAAAGGATTGGTTTTACCTGGCAGTGGATAAAATTGTAAACGTAAAAGGAAACTACCAAACGGGTACTTCATATCTTGATCATCTCGAAATCGAAACAAGTGATCATGGCACGTGGCTAGTAAAGCCTCATTTAAATGGGTATTGTGATGCTTTACACAGATCAAGCACAGTGAATCCAACTAAAGATCATTTAATTAGTGACTACTTAAACTTATGGTTACGCGGATTGCAAATCGCTATGGTGCGATTCAAAGATGAAATATTGTAAATAATAAAAGGATGAAAGACAAATCAATTATCCAGTTTGACTGGAAGATGTGTTACTATTTATTCGACAGTGATAAAGTGTTGTTAGTTCTGCCCTAAATATATAGAGTTTTTATCTACTCGTTCAACGAGTTGTTGAGGACGAAAATTGTAATTTGATGAATATATTTTCTTGGAGTTCACTCCAATGGGCTATGTTCAACAAGTGAATAAGAAAATTAATTTCTTTAAAGAAAGTTTATCAACGAAATAAAATTAATTTAAAGCCACTGTACATTGCGTTTTTTATCTTATCCTTTTTTGGATCATTCCAAAGTCCACACAAAAAACAGGAATGGTTGTGCATATAAACTATGTACAAATGACATATTGTAACCATGAGAGGATCTATAAACTGGATTGTATCACATTTCGATATATATATCATGGTTTCGATTTCAGTAGTTTAATGAATGGTTGAAAGATGACTGTTCAGAATAAATCACACTTCAAACTATCGATCTAACTACACTACTGGTTCTAAAATAAAATGTTTCAGGCTCAAGTGTTTTTCATCGATTATTATTAGATATTTTGTAGTATCAATGAGAAGGATTTATTAATTAAATAAAAGGAGGACTTATAAAAAAACACATTGTATAATTATAAAGAACATATTATGTACATAAGTTTTACGGTGACAACTTGTTAGTAACTTGGCGATAACGAGTTCTCTTTTTCATAGTACTCTGAAAAGTAAAGAAATTTTAACTATAAGGATGATGCACTATTAAGTCATGAAATACATGTTGTTGTTTATTGAAAATTAACATACCAAGGAATTCATTTACGTAATCCGTGTCTTTTCCACCTTTCAAACCATCACTGATATCTGGATGAACAACAAGAGGATGTAGTGCATTCATGAAGAATGTTGAGTAAGGCTGTCCCGCAACCTTTAGGACCTAAGGTATAACGGAAATGAAAGAAAAGGGAGTATGAACTACGGAATGAGTGAATATCCATCAGATTATTAACACAACAAGTATAAAAGCAATATATACATATGAAATCAATGTAGTTTAAATAGGTTAGGAATTAGAACGATGATGAAGTATGAAAGAACTGACGTGCCTATAATCAAGATCTTCAGCAAACAAAAATCCTCAAACTCAGATAAATTTCTGTTTTAAGATAATGCTGATGCGTGAAAACTACATTACTATTAATGGCTTGATTCAATATTATATGTTCAGTACAATATGGACAGTTCTCAGAAAACAGTATTATGGATTGTTGGAAAAGAATTATAACAATTTAGAAAAGAAAGTTTCTTTTCGGACGACATAATTTACTGAAGCTGCACAATAGCATTTATAGTTAACTTACAAATGAAAAAATTGAAAGATAGGAGGAAGATTACATCATATAACGTATCAAAGAAAGTTGCTTAATAAAAGAGATTTGAAGAGATAATATGATGAAATCGAATGTGTAAAGGATAGTTGTCCACTTGACGAATATCAGAAGGATGAGGAGTAAATTAACAACATGTAAGTGATACGAACTGGTAATGCAAGTTAGCAAGAGGAGGACGTAGTAAAATCAATGACCGTTTACGAAAACTAAGTGTTAGGGTTAAGGAAGAATGATGCTTGCATGTGTCTCTTCAGCACACAGAGTTCAGATTTGAAATGATATGTCGTCATTAAGAAGATACGAATCCATATAACTTTTAATTAGCAGCATGTTCAGGAATCTCCAATAGTACAAACTTTATGGGATTCCAACATAGTGTTCATTTACCTCATTATGTCTCATGCTAGAATTAACTGTCTGATGTTTAGCAAAACAAGTATGGGACTAACAACCATAGATTGTTGTTCAATGGGCTGCAAAGATTGATTCATTTTGATGAAATTTGAAGCGGTAGAAATTGGTATACATATAATGATACCATTCGTATACTAAACAAAAGTTTTCTGTAGATGGCAGAACTTGAAAAAAAATTAGGAAAAGGAGAACGAATAGCTACTAGTAGCACACTCTGAATTAGTGAAGACATGGAATACTTCTTTCCAAACACAGAATACTGTTCACTTTCAGAGGTAAGAGCACAGCTAGTTGATAATGCAGCTGTTAGTCTTAACACTGGTATAGCTGTTTAATGGCATTGGTCTTGAAATAGAGTCAAAAGCAGAAGTATGGTCTAGAAATGCGCATTGAACATAATTCTTACCGTTTTCCACAATTAACACTTGATCAGTTTAAGGAAACATCAAAGCATGTGAATATAGGAAGCATGGCATCAAACGATCGACGTATGGAAGACTAATTTTAGTGACTAACATTCAGCTGGGCATCGTCACTTAACTTCTCACTAGGTAGACAATCTATTCCTACACGTAGTGCATTTGATAAAATCAATTTTTGAATTAAAATCTTTGTGCCAGTATATTCCACGTCACATATATTACCCCTTCCATAAAAGTATGATGGGACTGACGAAATAGATAATGCACGGTACTACAGTAATATTTATTGGATAATAATTTCGGTTTACTTTTTACACTCCATCCAAAATGTTTGATTATAATGATATGAATAAGAGTGATAAATTGTGTCTAATACATCATCCAGTAAACAGACAAAAGTCCTATACTACACTGTTGCTCCAGAAAATATCGTTTCAAAGGATGAGATCAGGTTATAAAACTGAAATTAAGATTAGGTTAATATGTATGTTGTAACCTGCAAACCTAATATAAATAAAATTATGGTAGACGTAAATGTGTGAATGGACTATATGTTAAAACAGTTTCAGTATAATGACTTGTTAAAATATGGTTTATGTATACAGGATTTATAAATTGGTAAATTATTTTATCACACCAAACCTTTTACACAGATAGAAGGACAACGACATGATTTAGCGTTCTAAGCATAGTTTCTTTCAATGGGTAATAGATATAGTCACTTATAATAATGCTAAATATTGTTGATTGTTTTTGGAAATGCGGATAAAAAACTTATTCATAACAAACGCTGTACTCACATCATTCTGTTCACAGTGATAAGTTTCACAATTGCTGTACAGTAAATTAACGCCAACCAGATCGGAGTAGTATGAAACTTATATATATTTCATGTGTATGAAACTAATGTATTATGTAAATAGTTTTGTAGTTGTGCAACATTCATTATCTAATTATACTTTTGTTCACTGTTTTACATTTTTCGATGTTCCAGGATAAATAAGAAAGATTGCATTAGTGCTTGTTAATATACCGGTATGAAATTCAAAGTTTATTATTAAATAAAACAGCCCATAAAATTATTTAAATGAAACTTATAAAATGTTATAATTAAGAAGTATGACAACTTATAGAAAGATACAATCTGTGATTTTGAATGAGCATTATTAGTTGTTAGATCAAAGTGCCGCCATATTTTTTAAGATGGCCATGTAAGACAAGTAGCTGTTGCATTCATATCATTAATGATCTAGTAAAGGATTTGAGTTTATTCGTTTACGGTCTCATGATAACCAGTGATCCATAATAGGTTTATTTGCCATTTGCTCCATCAGGATCCTGGAGACCATATGCGCCAAAGGTTAAGAATCAGTTTTTAAATAAATATTTAGTTAACGCTGAAATAATTTATCAATATTTATGATATAAAACAAAAAAACCATGCCACATACTTCTGTAACAAAGTGACGAACAATCGAAACATCAACACGATTTCGTAAAAAAAGTCTATGCATCGTGTTGATTACAGGAAGTACATGACCACACGATAGTAAATGAACGAGTAATCCAACCAACATTCGTTTGTATTCCAACTGTAAAGTAGAAATTATTTTTTAAAATAGTATATCTTATACCTATGTAAATAGGTTTTGTTGATAGACGGCAATCAACTACTCAATGCTCACGTTAAGAAAATAAAACATGTTCGTGATAAATATAAACAAACTCCAGGTAAACAATAAAACTTTATTTACAACACTGATAGAAGTGAATACATTACAGTAAAACATCTCTCAGTTATGAATATTCACGACAAGATTGGGCATTGAAATCACGATCATTACACCCAACAGCAAGTGTATTCCCTTCAGACTTTGAAGTTGAAGTTCAGTGGTTGACACTTTCGATTTCAGATGATTCACGATATTGCACGACCGTTACTCATTATCATCGGCGGTAATTGTTTAAAACCCGAAATAGCTCAACTTCATAAATCATAGCTTTTTACTAACACCGCCTGTACAACCTTCAGGGCTACTGCCGGTCCCAAGCCCGGGTAAAGGAGGAGGGTTGAGATGTGGGTTGGCGGCCCCATCCCGGAAAAAACTAACTTGCCAAAAAAACCCTAATAAGAAAGAATAATTCAGACCATTTAAACTCTACTCTGGAAGTTAGAAGGTCTTCATTTAGGAGAATTATGACGTCTCATGATGAAAGCCGAGTTTCTTCGGAAGTCATGAGGCCGATGCCCCTTCTGACAACCAAAACCCTTCCACGGTGTGGGCAGCCGGGAAGTAACATCCGCCCTCATACCCATAAAAGCACACGAGACCAAATTGGTCACAATCAAATCCTTTCTACACCTCCTTTAAGCATGAGGGAAAACACCTTTTGACCTGGCGTCCCCCAAAGCCGACCCAACTAGATCACATCGATATAAGCCATCGGTGGAAAGGCTCTATTAAAGACTGCCGCTCATTCTGGAGCACTTGTTTAGACTCAGACCATGCTTTGGTGTGAGCCAGTATTTGTTTGAGGCTAACAGGACGTCGGAAAGATATAGCACCGAAACCTCTTAGGCCTCTCTCTACTTAATGATAATAAAGCTATGAATATATTTCAGGAACAACAAAAAAAACAGGCGGCTATATAGTAAGTGATGCCTACCATGAGGCAGCCTGGAATGACATCAAAAAAGCTGTGGAATCAGCAGTGACATCTGCTAGTAAAGTAAACCATAAGGTTAAGGAGAAATCATGGATTTCAGTAGCATCTACAGAACTGCTGGATGCTCGAAAACTCATTCAGCCTGTCTCTGAGTGCGATGAGGAACGAAGTCAGCATACGCGTAAGCTGATACAAAGCCCACGCAATGACCGTGAACAGTGGTGGGTAGCGAAAGCAAGAGAGATGGAAAAGGAAGCGGCGATAGGCAACTATTCAGATTCATCAAGGAAACCGGTATGTGAGTGGGACTATATCGGGAAAGGATGATCTTATCATTCATTCTCAATCCAGGAGATTGTATCGATCGACAGAACACTTTAGGGATCAGTTTAATTAGCCTTCAGTCACGCTTCGGTTGCCCACGATCTCCAGTCAACATGAATGGCAAATCGATTTAAGTCCTCCTAGTCTTTACAAAGTTAAGAAAGCTATAGGAAATCGAAAACGAGGAAAAGCATCGGGTCCTGTTAGATTGACCCCTGTGATTGTTAAAGATTGTGCTCCAGTTTTAGCAGTCACATTGACTGAGATCTTAGGTAGAATTTGGAAGCTGAGCGCACTACCACCCAACTAGTTTCAATCCCTGATTGTTCCAATTTATAAGAGAGGAATTCAGTCCACTTGTGGCAATCATAGAGGAATCAGTTTAACTAATATGTTGACTAAATTGTTAGCCTTGATAATACCTGGACGCCTAAATAGAGGTTGTGAAGAGCAGACTAGGAAAAACCAGGCTGGTTTCAGACCTGGAAGTGGATGTATAGGCCACATTTTTACACTACGACAGGTCCTGGAACACAGACATACATTTCGACGTCCGACAAATGTTATCTTCCTGGACCTTAAAGAAGCATTTGACTCTGTTGATCGTGAGGTTTGTGGCAGTGCCTGTGATTAAAAGGTTTACCAAAGAAGTACATTAACTTTAAACAGGCCCTCTACTCGAACAACACTGATCGAATGAGAGCTTATGGGGAACTGTCCTCTGAATTCTTTGCTTCAAGTGGTGTCCGTCAGGGATGTCTACTTTCCCCATTCTTGTTTAATTTTATCATAGACATGCTTCTAGGTATAATATTATCTTCGTCTGAATTTCCAGTAGACCTTCTACCAGGCGATTCATTGGTTTCTCCCTCGAAATGCAATATGTTGCTTCTAGATTGGCTTGCGACGGCACCTGAACTAGTGATAGGAAGTAGAGTGGTTGATCGTGTCGACCACTTCACTTATCTCGGGAGTCTCACCAGTACCGATGGCCTGGTGACTGACGAAATCTTAGCACGGACACAGAAGGTTCGATTGGCTTTTGTCAACCTGCGTCACTTATGGAGTAGACGAGATATCCGTTTGCTGACTAAAGGACAAGTGTACTGCACAGTAGTTCGCTCTGTCCTACTTTATGGCTGTGAAACATGGCCAGTGAGAGTAGAAGATATTCGTAGGTTACTGGTTTTCGATCATTGCCTTCTACGAAGCTTTGCTCGTGTATCATGGGACAACCGAGTAAGCAATGCTGTTATTAGGAAACGGGTGCTAGGTAAGGATGGCAGGTCAATAGATGAGGTATTGAAACTTTACCAGCTGGGTTGATTGGGACGTATACCTAACCACCGACTGCCTAGTCGAGCTGTTTCGCGATGTAGGAATAGGTCGGAAGAAGGCTAGTGACGGCCAGACCAAAACATGGCACAAATTCATGAAGTCACCCACAAGTGGACTGAGTCATGTCGGTAGGTATCGTCTACATGGTTCGGGCCCGCGAGATGATAGTAATCGATGGTTAGAGACTGAGTGACATGGCTCAAAACCGTTTGCGATGGCGCAGGTGCATTTATTATTTGTGTTCTCTCAAATTCTAGTCTTCTGAATTCCTCATCACTTTATCTTTTTGAAGTTTATTTCACTAGATTCTACTTCTTGAATAATATCTTCTAACCCTAATCCCTTCGATTACTGCTAATACGTTACTACATTTACCACTGTAGGATTTGAATTGACAATCGCATCTCTGTGCTAATGAGGTATGGCAACTTGAACGGATGTACGTGCGTACGTACGAAGTTCTACGTTGCTATTGATTGGAAGCTTCTCACTAGAACTTTTAAAATTCTTCTGTAAATTATCGATCAATACGCTTTTTGGATTATATTGCACGTCCAATTAAGTTTAATCCGTGATGTATAGCTATGTGAAAAGCGAACGATTTTCATGAACAATAGGTAAAGATTGGTAATTTTTCAGTCGATGATAATAAACATGAAAATGAATCTATGGACGGAAAATTGCGTTGCAAAAGTTTGAATAAAAACGCCTTGACCATACCTGGCTCAAGTCTTCCATTCCTTCAACTGAAGAAGCCAGTAGTTCCGTGATAAATGCTAAGACAGCTGGACGCAGATATTCATTAACTTCAGCCAATTCATTCACTACTATACAGTAAGGTTTCATTGTGTCCAAATTTAACTCGAAATCAACACGTTTCGTGTGAAAAACGACTCGAACAAAACGAAATACGCCAAGTGAGACAGGTCGGCAAGGTAAACATTTCAAAAGCGATGGAAGATCTCGGAAAGCACGTAGACTAATTCCACTGCCAGACATATTATTCCACTGAAATAAAAAATGTAAGGTCCATTGTATAAGCGCCTCGTTTTCAATTGAAGCTCAAGATCAATTTGCAGAAATCGCATGTAAAAGGTTACTAGTACCAACGAGTGGTATGGGCAGCCTATTGTTACAAGGTTAATTTCCATGCTAACGTGAGATAAAAAAGAAGTTTGCGAAATATATGTGAAATGATTGTCAAAGTGAACTATTTTAATGTTTCTTTCATTATATGGTAAAGTCTGCTTGGTCTTTTATATACACATAACTATAGATCATAACAATTTGAAAAAGATTTTCCATAGACAAAGTAATAATCATACTGGTAATAGACTGTAATACTGTGATAGACTAATGACTAAAGCTTTTGTAACGTAACAGTAATCTCTTTGGTCATTTATTATGTTATTATGGTGAGATTGCTGAACAGATTTAAGATAAGAGAAATATTAGTTAACTGACCGAATGTATACAAGGGGATGGGAGTTGTCATTTACATAAAACAAATATATAGCACTACTCATCACATAACAAACGGGCAATCATTATGGGGATCAATCATACAGTAATAGGTAAGGCAGATAAAATAGTCATTGAGGAAATTGGCATCGACTGAATGGAAAACTTCGGATATTGGTTGCTGTTAAAATGTTGGGTGGCTATAAATGTCGATTTCAACATTAGCAAACGCCGGCGAACCACCATGGTAACTGGTAACAAATATGTCTTCCATATATTTCAGGTATACTCTCATCATAGAGTACCTGAAAATGACACTAAGGTGATAGAGTTAACAGTGGATTGTGAAAAAGTCATTGATGATCTGATTAATAGAATATGTTTATAGTTGATCAGAGCGCAGACTTTGAGATCGCAGTCAAAACGATATCTACAATTAATGGATGGAAATGTGATTTAAAATAATTTTTCGCGGAGACGCAAGCTACTGTTTTACTTTCTTTGAATTTTTCATACGATAGCATTTCATACTATTCGTTTGCCAATTTTACTAACTGAGGCGGCCAAATCAAAATACGGCACAAATCTATGAAGTCACTGACAAGTGTACTAAGTCATGTTAGTAAGTGTACACTACCTGACTGGGGTCGGTGAGACTTGGAATGACATAGCTCGAAATCGTTTGCAATGGCGCAGATACATCCACTCTTTGCGTTCTCTTCAATTCTAACCTTCTGCATTCCTCATCACCTCTATGTTTCCTCTTTATAAGGTTACCTCACTGAATAATACTTCTTGAATAATATCTTCGAACCCCAATCTTCTATCTTGTCGCTGATACTTCTAATATTTATACTACTATGGGATTCGAATTGACAATTACGTCTCTGTGCTAATGTGGTATGGCAACTTGAACTGATGTACATGCGTATATACGAAGTTCTACGTTGTAACTGACTGATCGACAAATAATTGATGAGTAATGATGAACAAAACGCATAGGATAATAGGCTAAACTAGACAATCACCGTCAAATAAAGGGTACAAAATATCTAAAAATAGCTGACATCTACAGGTTACTGGTACGTACTTGTCTACAAATTCGGCTTGCTTCTAAAACTTCACGTTTTGCTTCGTCAACTTCAGTACGTATACATGAAATACGTCGTTCAGAAGTGGGTTCAATCTCCTCAACAACCATTGCAGCATAACTGTAAAGATATGCATATTGCTCTAATTGTTCAGTGAGTAATCTATCAGAACTTGCAAACAATGCGTCTGCTAGAAGTGCTGGTAAGTAAAAACAAGGTGAGTATTAAGAAATTCATTACTACTTGTTAAAATATAAAGAAACTTTTTCAAGATGCTTTAAATCATTTATTGAATATGTACACACAGACTCGTTTATTTAAAACAAGTACTACTTTGGTACTGGTAAGAAAAGTACCGATTCGACTACGCATATCAAATATCGTGCAGTAAACAACTAACAGAAGGATAAACATCAAAATATCCATCATAGATGCCAGTTTATATATCAACCAATCAGCTGAATACAGAGAGAAAAGCATACAAAGACACTCCCCATACTACCGATAAGAATTGCACTATCTATTCCCGTTATATTCTATTTATATCTGTCCACATAAGTAGCGCAAACAACATAAGTATCACTCGAAGTTATTCCAATCATCGTACAACTGTAGATTGTTGCAATACACCCTCGAAACGCATCTTTGAAGTTGACTAGCGTTTATACGCTTTTGTTTATTTCCTCTTCGGTTTGTGTAAACCGTGTCGCGCCTCTCTGTGATGATGTATGGTGCTTCCAACTTCGGGATTGACTTACCCTATCCTGGTCCTTCTGCTGTGGGGTAATTTCTCGATATTTCGCTTGGCCTCTAACTTCTAAAGGTTTCCACCTCTTTTTTCCTTTTGTAAGCTTGAGTTTTGTTTCTGCTTCACGTTTCCGATTGACCACCTCCTCTCAGTTCTTAACCTTGTTGTAACCGACCTCTGTTACTGAAACAAGGTCTTATTATTTAAAATTGATAGTAACTTTTTCTCCCAGTTCCCTCCTTTAAAAACTAACCATTCCTTCAACGTCCGGTTGGTTCTTTCTTTTGAGCTATTTGTCTGTGGGTGATAGAATGTCGAACGTATTCTCCTGATATCTAACTGCTCTATATGGAATTTGAATTCGTCATTTTTGAAGCACGGACTCTGGTCGGTTAATATCATTTTAGGTAATCCATAGTCGATTAAAATGTGCCGGATTATCATTTTTGTTACTGTTCTTTCCCGCTGGTCTGCGGTCAGCACGGCATCTACCCAACGTGTAGCATTTTCTGTCATCACTAGCAGGTACTGATTACCGCTCTTGGTTTGCACAGACCACTGACCACTAACAGTTGTTACTGGGAGTGACTGCCCGACCGTAGCTGCTAAATTGACGTGGTGGTCGGGCTTGCCTATCGTCATGACCCAACCGAGCTATATTGGCTGGAACATATGTTCCTGAAGGCTCTACCATGTCAGGCAGGTCGATTGGAGAACGATCAGACTAAAAGCAGCTACTCAACGTCTCAGGGCGAAGTCGTAACGCTGACGGGTGTGACAGCAGTAAGGTGTTTCCCTCGGACAACCATCATCTGCAGCGATGCTGTCTTCTTACAAGGAAGGAAGGGTTAGAAAAGGTCGGCCCTAAAAATGTCACACCTCCCCTACCTCACGGATTTCCGTCTCCTTGGATAAGGGTGCCCGCTAAGGGCCTTTAAGAACGGAGCTAATACTCAAAATACCTTTCATAAAAAGGCCGTGCGTGACCGGCCTCAAGCAGTTGTCCCTTGGACTCTACGGTCACGCTCCCAGGTCTCCAAGACCAATACTAATCTATCTTCCTTTTCAGTTCCCTCAAGAAACAACCTTCCATGGTGTGGGCAGCCGGGAAGTGACAACCGCCCTCATACCCATAACAGCACGAGAGACCAAATTGGTCGAAATCAAATCGTTTCTACACCCACACATAACTCTCATCTCTCCACAACTAACTGTACTCACATTCCCTTATCTGACTGCACCGCTAATGCAAACGATGCGAGTTCACGAAACGTCATTCCTGGTCTCTTGAAACCTCGTTCTGGTCTACATATTGGAGCATTTAATGTACGGACATTGTGTCAAATAGGGCAACAGGCATCCTTAGCTAAAACTTTAGAATCTCGCTCCATCGATGTATGCTGCGTCTCGGAAACGCGCATACAGGATCCTAGTAAAATTATTAATCTGATTTCACCTTGTCAAAATAAAGAAGCAGCTCGATTTACTCTTCGTGTATCCGGTAGCCCTGATGCTGCTTCCAGGGGTCTTGCTGGCGTAGGCATAGCATTGAGTTGTAGAGCTGAACAATCTCTCCTTGACTGGATCCCAGTAGATAGTCGTTTGTGCGCTGTCCGACTAAACGGGACAGTAAGGACTCGGAAAGATAGGGACAATCGCCGTTGCCTTTTCATCGTATCTGCCTATGCCCCCACTGACTGCAGTTCAGACGAGGTTAAAGATGAGTTTTACACAAAGCTTTCGGACCTCCTGCAAAAAGCTAGGCGCTCTGATATAGTAATAATGGCTGGTGACTTTAATGGTCAAGTAGGTAGACTAAGTGAAAATGAAAGACACCTAGGTGGATGTTATGGTGTCGCAGCTCAGAGAACAGACAATGGTGACCATCTGTTGCAAGTATGCTCAGACAACCGCCTATTCTTAGCAAACACTAACTTTAGGCATAAGGAAAAGCATCTGTTGACCTGGCGACCTCCAAAGTCGTCTCAACGTTGGACGCAACTAGATCATATCGCCATCAGCTACCGATGGAGGGGTTCGATAGAAGACTGTCGCTCGTTCTGGGGCACATGTTTGGATTCAGATTATGCCCTAGTGCGAGCGCGTATTTGTTTGAAGCTTACTGGGCGTAGGAAAGACGCCGTAAGAAAGCCTCTTAGGGTTTTACTTAATGATAATAAGGCGAAGAATATATTTCAGGAACAACTAGAAAGACAGTTAGGCGACCATGTAAGCGATTCCCAACTGGAAGCAGGATGGAATGATATCAAGAAGGCTGTGGAAACAGCAGTTATATCTGCTAGTAAGGTTGACCATAAGGCTAGAATGAGGCCGTGGATCTCAGTAGCATCCACCGATCTGATGGATGCCCGAAAACTCATCCCACCTGGCTCTGAACATGATGAAGAACGAAGTCAACTTAGGCGCAGACTTATAAAAAGCCTACGTAACGATCGCGAACAGTGGTGGGTGGCGAAAGCAAAAGCGATGGAAAAGGCAGCGGCGATAGGCAACAGTAGACAACTTTTCAGACTTATCAAGGAAACTGGTATTAGGAATCCTACTGTAAGTGAGACTATCTCAGAAAAGGACGGGACTATTATTTATTCTCAATCCAGGAGACTGGATCGATGGGCAGACAACTTTTGGGATCAGTTCAACTGGCCACGAGCCACTCTTCGGTTACCCACGATCTCCAGTCATCCTGAATGGCAAGTCGACGTAAGTCCCCCTAGTCTTAATGAAGTTGAGAAAGCGTTAGGAAATCTGAAGCGAGGACGAGCTGCAGGTCCTGATAGACTGACCCCTGAGATATTTAAGGATGTTGGTTCAGTTTTAGCAACTAGGTTGACTGAGATCTTAGGTAGAATCTGGGAACTGGACGTAATCCCATCCGACTGGTCTCAATCACTGATTGTCCCAATCTATAAGAAAGGACAAAAGTCTTCTTGTGACAATCACAGGGGAATAAGTCTAACTAATATAGTATCTAAAATATTGGCCTCAATAATACTTCGGCGTCTAACGAAAGCTCGTGAAGAGCGAATTCGAGAAAACCAGTCTGGTTTTCGACCTGGACGTGGCTGTATAGACCACGTCTTCACACTCAGACAGGTCCTGGAACATAGACATACATTTAGGCGTCCTACAATAGTTGTTTTCCTAGACCTAAAAGCGGCATTTGACTCTGTTGATCGTGAGGTTCTCTGGCAGTGTCTGTCATTGAAAGGTGTACCAGAGAAGTACATTACCCTTATACAAGCTCTCTACTCGAACACCACTTGTCGAGTGAGAGCTTATGGCGAACTGTCATCGGAATTCTCTACTTCAAGTGATGTCCGTCAGGGATGTCCACTTTCTCCATTTTTGTTTAATTTTATCATAGACATGCTCCTAGAAATAACCTTATCCTCGTCTGAATTTTCAGGAGTAGACCCTCTACCAGGTGGCGCGCTTACTGACTTAGAATATGCCAATGACATTGTCCTACTTGGTGAAGACGCTGACAAAATGCAGAGTCTTCTGACTATCCCAAGTAACAATGCAAGCATTTTCAGGATGCGGTTTCCCCCCTCGAAATGCAAAATGTTGCTTCAAGATTGGGTTGCATCGGCACCTGAACTAGTGATAGGGAGTGAGGTAGTCGAGCGTGTGGACCGCTTCACTTTTATTGGGAGTCTCATCAGTGCAGATGGCCTGGTGACTGACGAAATCTCAGCTCGGATACAGAAGGCTCGATTGGTTTTTGCCAACCTGCGTCACTTATGGCGAAGGCGAAATATCCGTTTGCTGACTAAATGACGAGTGTAATGTGCAGTGGTTCGCTCCGTCTTACTTTATGGCTGTGAAACATGGCCAATGAGAGTAGAAGATATTCGTAGGTTACTGGTTTTCGATCATAGGTGTCTTCGAAGCATTGCTCATATATCCTGGGACAACCGAGTGAGCAACGCTGTTATTAGGAAACAGGTGCTAGGTAAGAATGGCAGATCAATAGATGAAGTAATGAAACTTCATCAGTTGAGGTGGTTGGGACATGTCTTGCGTATGCTCAACCACCGACTGCCTCGTCGAGCTTTGTTTTGTAGTGTAGGAATAAGTTGGAAGAAAGTTAGGGGCGGCCAAACCAAAACATGGCAGAAATCCATGAAGTCATTGACGAGTGGACTTAGCCATGTCGGTAATTGTCGACTACCTGGTTGGGGTCCGCGAGATGATAATAATCGATGGTTAGAGACCTTGAACGACATGGCTCAAAATCGTTCGCAATGGCGCCGGTGCATTTATTCTTTGTATTCTCTCAAATCCTAACCTTCTGGGTTCTTCAACAACTCTAGTTTTGACTTTCTAAACTTTTCTCACTGAATCATACTTCCTGAATAATATCTTCTAATCCTAACCTCTCCGATTACTTCTAATACCCTTACTAACTCTTCTACTATTGAATTTGAATTGACAATTACATCTCTGTGCTGATGTGGTATGGCGACATGAACTGATGTACTTACGTACGAAGTTCTACGTTGCATCTGACTGACTGACTGGGAGTGACTGCAGTTGTTGTCGTATGCATCGATTAACTTTCTCTAGTTGGCACAGCTAGCAGATCAATACATGTTACGCAACATCGTCTATCATATTGAGTCAGTAGGCACTTTGTTGTAAATTTTTCGTCTTTGCGATACCTGTATGTGATTGGTGCCACTCATGAATCATCTTATGGGGAATGTCTTTGGGGATTTCTGCCACCCAATTCTCGTCATCATTTCTCCAGATGAAGGTTCAATATGCGTCCATCTTCAGTCTCCTTTCTGCCGAAGCAGCACCGTTACTTCTTTGACTATCATACTTTTGCCGACATGTGCTCCATCTCTTATTACTTTGAATACTTCTCGAAGATTATGGTTGACCTTCTGCCACTACATCATCTTGAACCAATCAAATCAAACTTGACGGAAAAGCTTCGAAAGATGTAGAAACCTTTGCATACCTGTTTAGCATCCTTGATAAACTGAATGGATCTGATACCCATGTAGAGACATGGACTAGCGAAGCAAGGGAAGCATTCCTACAATTGAATAGCATCTGTAACTCAAAAAAACTATCAACTAACAACAAAGTCACAAATTTTAGTATGAATATCAACGCAGTTCGATTATAAGGAGCTGTAACTTGGAGAACCATTATCAAAAAGACAAAAGTACTTATAAACCTATCTACGCAACATACTGCGTATGCATTGGGCAGACCCCATCAGTCTACGAGCTGCCCTTCATGAACGACTTTTCAGTGTAATCCATCGCAAGAATTCTGTATGATGTTGACTATTTTCCTGCGTACACGAAAATGTCGACGAAATCTCTACAGTCTTAACCTGTCAATGGTATAAATTGCGCTCTCGTATTCAAGTAAGTTAATGTATGGTGGCAAATTTCATTTAGTTGATTATTCCACAAAGATCCGTACTACCGCGATTTAACTGGCACACGATCCGATTTTACGAAATCCAGCCTGTAGATCTGAGAGTTGAGCGTCTACCAAAACTGTCATTTGATTCATCAGCACTCTGGTGAAGACGTTCCTAGGTGACGATAGTAGAGTGGTGCCTCTGTAGTTCTAACACTTGCTGAGATCTCCTTTCATTGGTATGTTGATGAGATGTCTTTCTTTCCAGTCTGTTGGAATTTGTTCTTTTCCCGAATCTCGCTGTAGAAGGCATGGAACATCCTTGCAGTTACCGATATGTTTGTTTTTAATGAGTCATCTGGAATGTTTTCTGGCTCTGCTACTTTGACACTATTGATTTATATGTTGGCCCAGATTATTTATTCAACGACCGGTGGGTCAATATCAATTGCTAGGTCCGTATGTGACGCTTCGATGATGGGTGGGTTCAGCTGTGCTTGTCCATTCGAGAGTTCTTCAAAGTTCTCTGTTCCGCCCGTTCCTCTGTTCTGTAATGTCGTTAAATGCTTTTTCTCCCTTGTTCTTCACTGGTCGTTTTGGTTTACCACATTTTTCAGTGACTTTCTTCATTATGTCGTATGGTTGGTCCATGTTTCATTCTCTGGAGGCCTTTTCTGACATCGTTTCTGGCTCTTCCACATATTTCCGTTTGTCAACTTTAGCCTCTCTTGACTTGCGTCTTTGCTTCTGCGTATTCAGCTTGCACCTTGGCTTCCTCTGTACTTATTCGTCTGACATTGATTGCTGTCTTCCTGTTCTTCCATTCTCGGCTCTTATCCAGAGTATCAATAGGGGTCTACACTTTGTGATGGTGGTTCCTATGGCCCGAAACCTCATGACATGTTGAAGTTATTGCCTTCTTGATTCCTTTCCAGTTGTTCTCCATGGTAGTGTCCCCTTCTTTCAGTAGATTGTGAAAGGTCTGGAACTATTTGTTGAGAGCCATCTTGAATTCGTTGAGTTTGCCAGTATCCCGAAGAAACGCCATAATAAACCTATGTGATGCTGTTTGCGCCGATGTCAAATGCTTATTCATTTTCATTTTCATCCTGGCCGCCATCAAATGATGATCTGAAGTTATTTCGGCTCCTCTGTTGGTTCTCACATCTTCCATGGTTATTCTGGATTTTTGTTGGTGCGGATGTAATCGATTTGTAGTGTGTAGTGTGTGTACTGTCGTTCGGTGAAACCCATACCCATTTGTGCATGCATTTGTGTGTGATTGAGGCGCTGCTCACGACCAGTTTGTCGAAAGCATGCAGATTTGCGAATCTCTCGCCGTTTGCGTTCCTTTCTCGCAGTCTATCGCGTCCCACGATGTCTACATATGCGGTGTTACTCCAACCTTGGCGTTTGGGTCTCTCATAAGAGTGATCAAATCCTTTGCATGACACTCTCTTCGATTGACCGCAGTCTCTCATGCAAATGACCTTTAAACATCCTGATTGTTATCTTTCATGGGCGCATAGCACTGGACGACATTCATTGTTGCCTCATTCTTCTCTGTCTTGAAAGATGTTTTGGTTATCCCGGATGTATGAGGTTCTCGCCCTATAAGTGATTTTCGTGCCTTTTTGGACAGCATCAGTGCAACTCCCTGTGTGTGAGGCATCTTCTTCTTCTTCTTCTTCATGGCCGCAGTACAAAAGCATCTCTCCTAGAGCTAATCTCTTCTGCCCAGTTTGAGTTCAATGAATCTCATTTATTGCAAGCACCAACGGGTCCGATCTTTTCATTTCTGCACAGACTTGAACGGTTCTTTCGGTCTCTCACTTTGTGCGAATATTCCATGTACTTATAAAATTGGTTGTTCTAGTTATCGGAAGTGGCATCGGTCTCGTGACTTTCGAGAAAATTCGGCATTCACTATGAGGCATCTTAAATGTTTCAGATAAGGACCTTCCAACTGCTAGGGCAGAGTTTAGATGGTTCGAACTAATTTTTCTGATCAGAGTTTTACAGTTGTTTTTCTATGGGATGGGGTCACTTAATACACGCCCAACTCTTTTCGTCTGGATTTGGGACCGGCAGTAGTCCTAGATGTGCACCTAGTCCTCGCTAACGATACTACTAAATAATGTAGATAATGATACATGAAGTATAAGGGTTAACCCTTAAATACACGAACATCCAATTAGCTCTTTATTGGGAATAAATAGCTAAATTGCTTCTATCGACCGGTAATCTTACTTATAAAATTCAATATTTCATAGGCTTTAGCAGAGCTTTACAGGTAACACATCGTGGCTTGATTTTTAAAAGGTCATGGTATAGTTTACAAATGTCAAACGTTTGAGGTTTACTAGCTTTTAAAAAATGAGCTTTATTTGTAACAGTGAGTAGTGAATTGAAGAAAACTTACCGATGAAAATAGGCTGTCGTAACAAAGCTACTGGTGGTGGTGCATCTTCTTTATATGCTTCCTGAAGCTGCAAAATGAAGAGAAGTGTTTACCAAATTATTTGGTTAAATCTGAGCGGTTACTTGTTTTATACAAGTTCCCTATGATGTTCAGTAATATAAAAACCGCGTAACTGAATGTCTTTCCAACTTGCCGCCTAATATTATATCAAAGCTGTAAAACATAGACTCTGAGTATAAAAGATATGCACATGTGCAGCCTTTTGGTTATAAGTCTTTCTGAAACATTGTTGACGTCTCGTGAAACGACTAACTCAGCAATGTTGAGGTTAGGCATGATGTAATATGCAAATGTAGCAAATCAGTATATGAGGTTGCGAATTTTCAACGAATGAAGTGGCATGGACAGCATTCAATAGAAAGAGCAAGTGAAACAGGGCTCATATTAATAATGTTGACGGTTAAATAGCGCATATTTATAAAATTGAGCATTTGAAGTTAGTTTGATTTATCCTTTATTGTTTTGGTTTTATGATAGATCAGAAGCGTAGCTTTCCGAACGTCTAATGAAGAGTCTACAATCAATTTTTCGAATTCAGTGAAAATGTATCAATCTTATTACCTCAATGATGTCCTCAACCAGCTACGGAGTAACATTTTTCGAGGAATATTTCAAAACTGCTAGAGTTGAATATGTTTTGAATGTTAAAAACATGTTATAATTTTGAAATTAAACAGAACGCATGTTCTATTCAGCGAGGGTTAAACGAACTTCGGTTTGTAGACTACTGACGTCCGTAATTGTAAGAGTTGATTGACTATGTTTTATTTAATAATCATTAAATGAACAGATGAAACCTATCAGCCGGACCTGATGCAAATATTATTATCATTCACTAACAAATGAATATTACGTATTCATATAAGTCAAAGTATCATTTATCAAAGTTAAAATAATACTGATATATACACTTGACAGGCGAAAACGTCTAAAGCATATTTAAACTAGCTTAAATTACAAGTTTAACTACATTACCATGATATTTTACAGAGTCTTCAGTATTTCATCATTTTAAACCTTAGCTATGGCTCTAATACCTAATTTTTATGCACAACAAATTATTGATACTATACTCTGTCTTTTGACTATGATTCATTATTAGGTAATACACCTCTCCCTTTTTGTCATTTTAATCGAGTAGCCGACTGGGATACTGTGTGAGAATATTGTGCATTAATATCGATTCTCAAACGCCGCTCGTTACAACAGATACAATTGCCGATTCGTAGGCATCAGTTTACGAAGGATATAAATTCTCCTAACTCGCATGAAGCTTCCTCTATTCATAGTCAACTGTCACAAGTATATATATATATATATATATATATATATATATATATTCCCTACCCACCCTTCAGTTCCGTTATCTCTTTTATGAGAAAACTGTGACGTATTATGTAATATAATCTTTGCAATGATAAACGTTGAATGGTGAAAACAAATAATTCCCATTAAACGTTGGAAAGAAGTTTATACTTTAAATGAAGTAGATCTACTAAACTTGATGGGAATTATATTGAAAATCAAACTTTAGCTTTTAGTACCCACTAGCTATGACAAAAATATAGATTTCTAAATTAATATTTAACTTCGTGGTTACGCTTTTGTAAACTTTCACTCATCTGGGTGCATTATAAAACCTTTTTACGAGATATATACCGGCAAAAATATAAAATTTACAAAATATGACTAACCTGTAAAACTGCATCCGGAACCAAGTCTTGTTCTTTAAGAATAGTGCGCATCGCATCCATACTGTCAGGATAATCTCGGGCACCACAGAGATACGTTGTGTACCGACTTACGTCACGACCCCTAAAAATAACATTTCATCAATACAAAATAAGTTTATTCCGAAAAAGAAACAAAAAGCAACAGAAAATGGGAAATATAACCCTTATATACGGAGAATGTTCAAATAACTGGCTATTTAAACATGAATCTTACTGGTCCATAATCTAAAATAAATGAGTTATGTTACCAAACTTACGAAAATACCCCATATTAAAATTACTTGGAGAATGCAAAATGACTGATTGACTAAGAGTTATATATTTAAGATGTAAAGAAATGTTGTTTGTTGTTATTCAATACACAAACAGTATTATTGCAACTAGGTTTTCTTAAATCGTTATAAAACCTAACCGATTAACGTTCTCTAAACTCGTACTTGAAATTCAAAAGTGGTTTTATGTACATATAGTATAAAAACTGGCGAATCGATTTATTAAGTTCTGAACCATGTCCAATGTATAAACATCTACTCAGTCATTTAAATAGTCAGAGACGAACATGGAATGGACTTCGTTATTTGTTAAATCAAAGTTATTTAGATTAGTCTGACTAATAAATACTCGTAGATGAGTCACACACAAAGTGTGAGAGCTAATGACGCTACCCAGCTTACCAAACCGAATTAGGCAGAGTGGGATTCGAACCGGTAACTTAGTGGCCCTAACCAACTGCTATACTTTCGCATTTATACGAACCACTGTGAAATTATACATGTATTTAAACTTCAACTTATTCAACTGAAAGTTTGGAATAGTAATTTGTCAAAAATGAAGACTTCATATAGGCCTCTCCAGTAGAGAAATACAACTTAATGAGGGAATTTATTTCAACTGGTACCAATTTACTGGAGTTACTAACACAGAATGAAAAATTCCATGAACGGAAGAGTAATCTTTTCATCTCAGAAGTAAACGTAACTTGCTTTCAAATAATTTGGCATCTCTGCAGAGATATTTTTATATATTTATTTATATATATATTTAGCACCATAGCACAAAAACCTGTCACTATCTACTGATCAGTGATTAACTGTACAAAATCTAAAACAAGAAAAACTAAAATTGAAACAAGGATTGGACTTATCAAAACCTTCGACTAGCTTCTGCCTCCAATAACCAAATGAGATGATGAGCGCAATGGCTCTTCATCTTCCGAGCCAAACACTGCAAGATTGATTGCAAGAGTAGATATCCATGTTCACTATGACAACCCATTTCCTAAGAAAAGTGGAAATATTCTAAGAGTTACCATCACAGTGATTCCACTCAACAAGACAAAATTTAATTTTGATATAACAGTACTATCAACAGGCAGAAATCTTAAATACATGAAAAGAGAAGCCAATTAGAAAGGATTGTAGATTAAGAAAATTTTTTTGTGGCCAAACCTAGCATATATTAGGGCTGTGAAAAAAAACTTGATACCATTATAAGTTAGTAAGGTTTAGTAGTGTACTACGAACCCACCACTTTTGTCTTGACCACCTCCGACTAACCAACATATTTTAGTGGTGGCACTTTTTGCGAAAAAAACTGTTATGTAAGAAAAAAGTAAAATTCTTAGCACTAACGAAGGTTATTGTATCATATTACTAAAAAAATACGGGAACTCAGACTCGTTCTGTCTTATCTACTTATAACTGTCCCACAAACTTATTAAGAAGTCTACTGAGGTTAATTTATCGATAACACCAAACATTGCACGTAACTTCTAATCATAAGATAGTTTGCTGCACAGCGAACTAATTGCAGTAAACCGTCTTACATGAGAAAAAGAGATGAATCAGCATGTATTGAGTCATTTCAAGTTCCATTATGACATACGGAGAGAATATCAAAAACGGATATCATCGATATTCTTATGAAGCTTTTATTTGATACTGTCAGATAAGCTGAGCACGCGGTTGATTGCTGATAATAAAAATAATAGCATTTTCGTGGTACGCTAATGATTAGAAAATAAAATTTAGTGATTCAGCGTGAACCACGTCAGAGAATGAACAAATGGACACATTAAATCAACAAGAACTCTTCTATTAAGGGCAGTAAAATTTAGCAATATGTGGGAAGCTTTGATTATTCATCTTTCTTAGTGGTTGAGGAGGGCTTTTTTGGATTAATTTGATATTTTTCGTATCGACTTGATCATTATTGAAGATGGAATGGACTGCTATTACAGATTTAGTTTGAAGTTTTTCATGATTATTAGATGGTTTCCGCATATTTTAGATGATTTTCGGATTGGGAGATAACTCGCCAACTTAGAAGGCATCACCATCGACACAACCTAATCTGTAAACGCAGATGAGTTGATGTAAGGGGAATCTTATCCTCTATACAAAGTAGAACATTCTTTTAATTCTATATAGTTCAAGATCATTCAAAGTTCTTTTGCACTATGACGGTAGAGTAGAATTAAGGTACTAAACCATGAGGTTTCATTTGAACCATTATTTGGTACAGTTTTGATAACATTTATAATTACATCGTAAGTTGTTAATTGTATGCTCCTGTGCTTCCTTAGAAGTGACAATTTCGGTGGCTCTTCTAAATATACTTATTGTCAGAGAATTTCTTACTTAAAAGATGTGTTGGATTGAAGTCAATATATTTATTGGAGTGTGTTGGTTAGATTTAGACTCATTTTAACCAAACAATCCAAAAATGATGGCTCATCGTATTCATGTTCATTTTCGAAAGTGAATTTAATGTGAGAAGAAGGTGCATCAATCCGTTTGAAAAATATTTCAGGAACGTTTTTTCGATGACCCAGTATGCGGAAAAAATAGATTGTATACAACCGCCGACACGCGGGATTCCACAGACACTAGGTTTGTTTGCTTGTTTAATATGCCAGTGTAGTATAGTTTTAGAGACTTCATGACCCAAATAATGGTTAAAGAGGATTCAATCGACAAGGTGTGATCCCTTTCTTATAAACCGTCAATAAAGTCTACGCATCTATTGATTAAGATACTAGTGTATGAAGGCACATCATCATGGTTTAATATGTTTTCATTCTTTTCAATAGTTAATTACGATGCATATTTTGATAAGAATCTTTGTTTACGATATGTAAGTTTTGTTGCAATGGCTTCAGTATGTTTAGCGCATATTTCGATAATGGATATATAGGAGTACATACGAAAACCAGGGGTCAATCTAACAGGGCCCGCTGCTTTCCCTCGTTTTTGATTTCCTATAGCTTTCTTAACTGTGTAAAGACTCGGAAGACTTACATCGATTAGCCATTCATGTTGACTGTAGATCGTGGGCAACCGAAGTGTGGCTGAAGGCTGATTGAACTGATCCCTAAAGTGTTCTGCCCATTGATACAATCTCCTGAATTGAGAATGAATAATAAGGCCATCCTTGAATGACATGGCTTAAAGTTTTTTCGCAATCGCGCAAGAGCATTCATTCTTTGTGTTCTCTCAAATTGTAGCCTTCTGAATTCCCCATTACTTAATCTTTTTCAAGTTTATTTCACAAGATTTTACTTCTTTAATAATAACCTTGAACCCTAATCTCTCCGATTACTGCTAATGCTTCTACTACTCCACTACTATGGAATTTGAATTGACAATTGCATCTCTGTGCTAATGTGGTATGGAAACTTGAAGTGATGTACGTATGCACGAAGTTCTACGTTGTAACTCAGTTACTTTAATTTGTTCATTTATTGATTCTCCGAAGTGGTTTACATTGAGCCATGAAACGTCAGTAATTTTATTTTCTACTCATTGAGATATTAAGAATATACTACTTTTACTGCGAAAATGATAATAAGTAGAGTGAGCGTACGTGTTATGTACAAGGAAATAAAATGTAAATAAATCTGGATCTTTAAATGTTGATTTCAATCAAGGAATCTTATGCTTCTGAACACAACTTGAAGCGAGTCTGTAAATTCCAGAATTGATGTTATGTATTTCTGCGTCACCTTGAAGCACTTTTCTGACGTATACTATCAATAAGCACCTAAGTGTTTCGGAAAACTGATGGAAGCGTCAGCAAATATATATCACGTTACAAGACTGAAAGTTGTGTGTTGGTAGACAGACCAAAAGAATACCAGTGTTATGGAAGCTCGGTTTAACTACCTTTCCCGTCGTTATCAAACTAGTATTTATACCGTTGCTTAGAAACTGATTTTCAACCATCAGGACTAATTTGAAGATTTTAGTTCTGATTCCCAGTCGTTAGTCTATTGTTTAAAGTAATCTAACTAGTATTTATATCATCTATACCGAGAAGAACGTTAAGGGCTGTGGAGCAACTATTAAAACTGTTACACCTCCGAATATTCGGTTTCATGCTCTATTAGAATGATGAAACCAAAACGTTATTCTTTATAAATTAAAGATTCGATTCCAGTCATTACATGAAAAAGAGAAAACGAATTTGATACATTTATGGATAAAACGGACAAAATAGCATTTGGCCCCAACGTATCGAGCTTCCAGCTGTAACACATCGACTCGGTATATAAATGGAATTCTTATCGTTAAAAGATGAACTTAACATCTAAGCCACTGCATTGCTTGTAAAGCGACTAAGCTGCGTATTGACTTACCAAAAAATGGGTTAACATATCTTGCGCAGTATCAAAAGAAGAGTGAGACTCTGCTGAAGAGTACGGTTGACGTTCATCATCAACAGCGGAAACAAAGCCCTTAACATCATCAATAGGTGGAAGGGAATCTGAATTTGCCAAGCTCATTTCTGAATGCGAAACATTCGAATAATTAGCAAATGAAGCATTATTCCGTTTCGGCTGTAAAAATGCAATAGAGTACATGAATGTCTGATCTTTAACTGTGTCACCAGCAGCCAGTAGTGGTTGTAAAACATATATAACACACTTTAGGAAAATCCCTAGAGTGTTCCATGCAAGCGGAACGGATACGAGCTCGCCAATGAGACTTTCCTTCACAGCTATACACGGCATAGATAACGATAAAAAAGGACAATCTTCATTTCGTGGATGTTGAGCTAGGTTATATATAGTCTGACGCCAAGTTGGAGATTCAACCATTTGACTAAGCCACTCCATAGTATCCTGAATTTCAAAATGTTAAGTAGTAGTAAAATAAACTAACGGCTGACGCTTCATCTGTTAAGCATGTTATGGCTTTGGAACGATCATAGTTTTGAAGAATGGCCTCCTTGACAACTGATTCAATTATGTTACGAGTAGACTGAGCATCTTCATCTACATGAATTGATGCAAGGTATTTTAAAAAGATCTTACCAATGTAGGTGAGCCAAGTCCCCAGTTCGAACAGAAACTCAATTGCACCTTGATAACTCTCCACTAAAAGTTTCTCTGCCTCGTTATATTCACTTTGTAGATTATTGTGTCGGATGCTAAAAATCCATTGTGTCATAAGTAGTTTCAAAGATACCAATCGATTGCTTCTGCAAGCATAGATGGGTGTTCAAGAATAGCATCTTTCTTTTTAAGAACAGCCCTGGCTTCTTCCATTCCACTATATAAACAAAGTAGCGCAATTCGGTTTTTACTGTTGCATATATGGAGATATGAATAATTTGTGGTATCAAATGTCACAGAAAAAAAGATATAATGAAAAGAGCAGAACGCTAAGGTTCGAAAGACGCCAAGAAGTCATTTACCTAAGAAATACTTAATAATACGGCATACAGTCATACTGTTTATGTTTGAAATATTTGAAAATTGGCAACCCTTAATCCGCACTCAACCTAGAACAACGACGGCCACACAACAAATGAAAACGATGCATCACATCTTTATACTCATACAAGAAACTACGATGAAAGTAAGGGAAACACAAGAAAAGGTATAATCTTGTTACTGTGTCTAACTATTAGGTTTAAAAAAATTGAGCTCTGGTCACGTCAGATGAAAAGGCTTGAGATTTATTTGGATTTTCGGACACTGTAAATGAACATATTTTCTACAAAGGTGCTTTCAGTAGGAAATTTCCTATGACTAATTTGCATATATAATGCACAATAACAACGCTTGAGAATATGATAAACGCAAATAAAATTAACGACATTTTTCTAAGTATTGCTAAGTATGATCTGTTTTCTGAGAAAAAAGAAGAACTCTCATTAGCTAAACAACTGGTCTACTTCGGCCAAGTAACGCACTAACTCTAAATAACCGCTTACTGAGGTACATAATATTGGGGAACCACATACTTTCGCGTGTAAAGAATAACAACATATTTGTTCCTTGTGGTTTTTGTGCATATGGTGGAAAAACCTTCTTGATTACTATGTTTCACGAAGATTTAAAGATTAAAAAATTCACTTCTGAAGGACAGAAATTTTTACATAGTTAAACCCCCACATCACTTACTTCCAATCCAGATCAGTGCCATTCCTACTTTTGAAAGACTTAATCAATAGTTTTGTTAGTTTCTATCTTATTAACAACTGCCTCACAGTTTAACGATTTTAGGAATCAGATGTTTCCCCTATAACTTGGTGGGAGGTCATTTGTGCTCAATCTTGAGTGTTTTCTTAGGTGTAGTTTAGTGTACAAAGGAGTTTCTGATTTGTTACTTGGAAAGTGGCTAGAGAAATAAAAGTAGGCAGGATTACATCACTTAGGTTCGACTGTGCTGGATAAGCAACGAAAATTCCCCATCATGCTGAGTTTAATATAGCATAGTTCTTAGGGTTTCTTTTGGGCGTTTTTCAAAAGAGAGATTTAACTATTGAGATAACTCTACAGCTAGGGTTGCTTTCAGAGAGTAAAACTGTTTTAAACCGTTTAAAAGCAAGATTATCAAATGTTCTGAGGAGGAACTCTAACAGTGAGTATCCTTTGGTGGTTACAGTGTGTCATTTGGAAGAGGGGACTATATTTTCAGGTATAGTGGTGGCAATGTTCATTTTAGTGAGAGAGAGCATATTGCTGGTACACACACCAGAGTACAAGCTTGATAATGTACCACTTTTGTCCACCATATAAATTCATCCTGCACTTATTGAGTGTGAGGAAATTCACATTCGTTCGACAATATATCTTATCGAGGTTTTCTTGAAGGGATATAATAAAGATAAAGAGCCAAAAACGGTTTTGAAGTGCATTCTACAACAGACAGAGGAGTAAGTTTATCCTGTTCGTATTTGTTTCATGATTTAATGCATCAAAGAACTTATAAAATGGTGAGACATCTAAAAACACTCCACCAACGGGGATTCAGACATTGTGCAATAGTCGAAATACGGGACTTACTAGAATAAATAGATAACAGTTGGGACTCTTGTGAGATAGAGCATGAAGTTCTCTTATTTCATAGATCAATTCAGCGTTTTAGAAGTGCAAATTACAAGATCATTCTCACTGGATAGTACTTTTTAGTGTTGCTATCTACATACAAATGTGTCGAGGCTACATAGGTTGCCCTAGCTTTTGAGCAACCTAATTAACCTTATCTTCCAGAGTTACGATTCATGTCTGTTTATCATGTCAATTATTTGCTCATAACTTGGTTTCGGTCATGAAACTGTGTGTTCATTGTTTGCTTAACTTTCCATATGTCTAGCACATTTTTGTCTTACTTTTAGTAACTAGCAATGCTTCATCACATTTAGTCGCCATCTTCGCTTTCCTTAGCTTTTTGTTCCCATTTTTATGTCTGTTTTTTATCATATGTATGAAATAAATCCATCCATTTCACCGCATTGTGCTTTTGATCACCGCCATTTCCTAAACGGGGTTCTGCTAAGTACGATAAATGGAAATTGAAGAGATTGGTTTGATTGGTTTCACTTGTTCGTAAAATTCGGAGTCATATCTCCGGCCACAAGAGTGGATAGTTCTTCTACAAGTGTAACACCACTTGCCAAAGTGTATCGAATAAGAACCTTCTGAACTAAATGCATTCGACAAATAGAATAAACAGAACAGAATAAACCCAGTCTTTAGTCCGACCTTGGCACCAAAGCCAGTTCATACAAATGTCGTATGGATATTTTGTTCATGTAACAATCCACCTCATAATTCTATTTGTCAAAGTCCTTCATTGTCTTCATCCTAATTATCAGCCCATTATCATTAATATCATACTCTCAGCGTGCCGGAATTATTGTCCTTATTCGCATTGACAGTCGGTCGTCAAAGTTATGGAATTGTACCAATCACCCATGGAATCTTGATACTATAAATATCACATTCAGGCGCGACATTCTCAACTCGCTGGATTATTTCCTCCAATGCAAAGACAGTTTGTTTTAATTTTGAACGATGTCATTTTGTCATCATTTCGCCTCATAAAAATATTAATTCATAAATAACATTGTGTTACAAGAGGCATGCCGAATTAAACTCAAGGTCAAATTGTCAAAAACGCTAACAAATTTGCTGTAATTGATAAGTCATTTAGTTTGATATTTAACAGCAACCACTGGTTAATGCCAAAGGGTGCTGATATCTTTCATAAAAGATAGTAAGATGCAGGTCAGGTCTGGAGATTGAAAGGATAGGCAGCTGGTGAAAGAAAATTAAGAAAAACATTGTTAAAAACTCATGAGTAAGGCGATGTGTAGCAAGGTTTTGAATGTTAGTAAGTTGGGGGAATAATCTTTTAAACTTTGACTATGTGAACCAGAAGAAACTCACTATGATAAAGGATGGTTTAAGTCCTTTTTGATCAACGGCAGTTGAGGGGCATCTATAGTCTTTTTAATTGATCTATCTACTAGAATTAAAAAACAAAAATGCTGTGAAAGTTAATAAGAAGCGAATTTATATGTTAAGGAAATTCAAAATGTGAGGGGTAGGAACATAAAAGTGTAGTCAGCTGTTGTTGGTAGGAGTAGGGCAATGTTTCTGTCACTTTGTGATGTGCTTGTAGTGAGAGCTTTACGTCTAGCCCACACGGCTCGTCCTAGCTTCTGGACAAATTGTTTTGACAACTGGTCTTTTGACCTTGTCAGTCATTCGCCCGTATCTTCGTTGCTTTTATTCGTGTGTGCGCACGCCTGCCTTGCATATTACACGCTTGGCTTACTTTGTCTTACCATATGTGCTTGATCGCGCTTGTTCGAAATGAGTGTGCTCACTTGCCTTCTCCGCTTTGTTTTGTTTGTATGCTTCTAATCATCACTTCTGCTTGAACGTGTGTACGGAATAAAATCATCCTTGTTACCGCCGTCGCACAAAGTTGATTCGCCAAAGCATAATATACGAAAACTGATGGTGAGATTTATTTAATAGCATACTCGATCATTCATGAACATTGAAACCAGATCGTGGGCCAATAAATTAGTGACCTTGACATGGAACCTAATACAGCTACAAAAGTGGTGAGCCCGAATTCGACCTACCCAACACTTTTAATAATAGCACTAGAAATCGGGCTGCAGTTTAAGCATGGTCTGTGAATAGCTTCGAGGGTTAGTCTAAATATTAGGTGTACGATAAAACTGTGCCTTGAGATTTGGTGGGAGTACTAGAGAAAGATGATAAATTTCTTAAGAGTCTAACAACAGCATTACTTGTTTCTTGAATGTGATTACTGTGTTAAAGATAAGGAAAAAAATCGATAATCTTTTCCTCATTGAAATCTATTGTCACAAAGAAATTACAACGCAGTGACTGTGTTTTAAACTCAACAGAATGTATGCATTTTTTCTGAGTCTGTATGCACAGTCTTGGTTCGTAACTGAGCGGGATATTATAAAGAGAGGCGATATAATATTTTAAAGAAGATTGTTGGGTTGTTTTCGAACCGAAAGCGCCATATAAGCTTTAGGGAAAGATATTTGCATCTTACTTTGTAGTTGAGAATGTAGCTGCATCCAGGCAGTCACAGTGCGAGACTGTTTTGGGGATTTTCTTGTCTATAATATTGACGTTTGAAAAGCTGTTTGTGCAGTATGCAAAGGAAGGTCCAATGCATATTTTGAGAAGTCTAAGCCTAACTTCATTTGTCAAGAAGTCCTTATTTATCAATACCATCAGCCGTCTTTATAAACGGATAATGAAAAATGCATGTTCTGCGAATCTTGAACTTCCTCAGTATTGGATTCCCAGATCATGAGCAGATATGGAATATTTACCAAAACGTCCAATGTCAAATTTTTTGTGGTTGAACGGTAGGTGCCACGTTTTGTTCCAGATAGATTGGCATTGATGGTTGCCTTGAATCCAAGCCATACTTTTTTTCGTCAGGCTTGAAACGGTATACTACTTTAAAATCATCTGCATAAATGCATGTTCTTTCAAACTTTACAGTATTACACACGTCAGTCAAGTACATAAGAAACAAAAGTGAACCAAATACACTGTCATGGATAATTCTGATGCTTATTGGTTCGGGTAAAGAAATCAGTGGAAGTACAACACGACAACATTGCCATACACGCCCGTCCACGGTATGCAGTTGGTGGATGTGCGTTGGTTATCGTGAACCTTGAAAATGATCGATATCTGCTTGACATTCAGTGAAATGCTCACTGGACAACACACTTACTGAAATTTTGCTGGTCGAACAAGTTCGTTAAGAGATTCCTGGTGGCATAAAGTCTTCCTACCTTATACTATCACTGTTTCGGTGAGTTGTAGAGATTTTTTCGACTAATGTGGTGATACGAGCCCTAATTTTACTACCTTTATTATTCCTCTTGGTTATATATCCCATTTTAACCTAATGTATTTGAGCTAAGACTTACAGAAGGACCTCACTTATCAGGAATCCTAACAATTATCACTCACGACGGATATTTTTACTTGATGCTTTACAATGCTGAATTTACTCGTTCCTTCTCATGATCCACGATCTTTCAATTTCTTACTTCAGTACCACGGACTTTTATGAGCCTAACGAAAATAAAACTGAAAAGATTGCGTTGTTGGTGGATCGAAATATCACTATCACAACAGTGATCAAGTTATTGTGGAAACCGTTGAGATAGTTAATACTATATAAAAATATTAGATGCTACTTACAGTGTAAGTTGAAAGTGAATTTATGTTTTGTTGTCGTAATGCGCAATCAAAATACTAAGTATTAGCTTCAGACGCTATATGCATGGTCCTAGATAGTGCAGTTGACTAACGATTGAGTGATGAGGATACCAACAGTGTCTGAAAAGATGGAAAGCAATCATGTAAGAGATCTCTAAACGCATTAGCTGATGAGGTGACGACAACGATTTTGTGAGCATTAGCGTATCTTTGATCGTATGTTATTTAAGCAGAGAGCATAACGATGGAAAAAAGTAAGAGGTTAATGTAAGCAACAACTTACAGTCAACAACAGTAAGTACACTGATGAAGTGAAAGCTTACGAAATGTGAAAAAATGAGGAAAGTTACTTACAAAATAAGTTTATGTTCACCATATCTGTTTTGATATTAATTAATCTTCTTATAACCAAATTACCACATAGCTGTTTTGAGCGATATCAATAATGTTTGTTACAACAAATCAATGTCTTGGAGTTATTTCATTAACTACCCGATTGAACTCATAATACTGTTGAATGGAAAAAAATAATACAAAACTCACTATTTCACTTATCTAGAAAAAATCAGTTGATAGCAAGATTTTTACTTACAAACTGTAGAAAAATGTTTGTTTAAACGAGTGAGTCTGATCGTTGTCATTAGCAACTGGTTCAGAGGCTTTCCGTAAAATTAACCATTATATTAAAATGTTTAAAAACACATTTCAAAGCGGTTTTCTATCAATACTATATAGTGTTGGTAGTAAACCTTTACAGATATGGGACAAAAACGTAATTTTATATTCTGAACTTTATGAAAATGTACTAGGTAATGAATGGACATATAAAAAGAATAACAGATAATGATATACAATCACTTGTATTGGAGCTGATGGGAACTAACGTCAGGTTTTCTTATTTAATTTGTTTATTGACTGTAGCACTACATTTATCACTTGTCCAGCTGAACCTAAGCGAAGTTTGGGTATAAAGCTACCATTCCTTGTGATGATCATTAAAAATCTAAAGAAGTATTTTACTTTTGAAGTTTTGGTTTGTGTAACTCCTTTTTATACTAATGTCTCTTCAGATATTAGATGATAAGAAAATTAGGCGCAGATTTCGAGCTAGCAATTATCAGAGTACCACTCGTGTAAAACCCTTTATTTGTACCATGCCAATGCGCTTAGATGAAGGATGGAACCAAATCCAGTTTAACCTGTGCGACTTTACACGACGAGCCTACGGAACTAATTATGTCGAGACGCTAAGAGTACAAGTGAGCATTTCATTAAGTCATGATTAGTTAGTACTTTGTATTGAATGGTAAAGCTATTTTTTAAATACACCGTCTGGGATTCATAGTACGAAAGTCTCCGTCATCGAAATGTGTTTGAATGAAATATATTACATATGTGCATGCTCCCTACCTGAACAGAATTGGTCAAGTGGAGGCTTATAGCGAACTATCATCTAAATTGATTGCTTTATGTAGTGTTCTTCAGGGTTATCCACTTTCATTTTTCTTAAAAATCGCCAAGTTGTTTTGAGAATTATCAGTTTAGCCGTTTAAATTTTCCGGTGTCGATCTTCTATGAGAAGATTTACTAGCGAGCTTGAAATATGTCGATGACATAGTTCTATGTCGGTCAAGATTGACAAAATGAAGTCATGTTACTGTCAGCAACGAGTCATATTCATAATGCGAAATGTAAAATGCCGCTTCCGGATTGGCTTGTATCGGCACCTGAACTAGTGATAAGGAGTGAAGTAGTTGAACATGTTGACTGCTTCAGTTAACTTGAGAGTCTCACAATTGCTAAATGGCTTAGCGTATGACGAAATCTCAGCACGAATAGAGAAGGCTCAACTGGCTCTTACCGACTTTGGTTACTTCTAGCATACGCGATTTATTCGCCTACAGGGCAAAGGACGAGTTTATTTTATAGCGGCTTACTCCATCCTATTACACGAGTGTTGGACATGGCGAAATGAGCAGACGATATTTGTAGGTTACTAATATTTATCAGTAGCGGTGATTGATACGTGTTATGTTTGCATAACTACTGAATACCTCGGCAAAAGGTGTTCTGTAGTGTGGGAGTAAGTCGAAAGAAAGCTAGGAGTGACAAAATCAAAACATGGCACATCCACAAAGTCATTGAATGCTTGGTATGCTAATGGGTGCAGAGTACTTAGTTGGGGTGCATGAGAAAATCATAACCAGTGGTTAGAGACTTTGAATGACATGACTCAAAATTGCTTGCAGCGGTGCAAATGCATCTGTTCTTTATTTTTTCTCAAATTCTGATATTCTGAGCTTTTTCTGACCTTTTCTATCATTTTAAGTTTATCACGCTTCTCGAATAATATCTTTGACCACCTAAACTATTCGATTACCACTAATACTTCTAATTCATCTACCACTATGGAATTTGAATTGAGAACTCTCTCTGAGTGTGCTAATGCGGTATGGCCACTTGAAATGGTGTGCGTACGCATCAAGTACTACGTTATAGCTGACCGACTGATTTCACTTGAAGTAACCGTATATCTGATCACAGTATAAGAGCTATTTAAACTCATCGTCTATAAAGATATACATTATTAGCTGATGAAATTTGACAAACCAATCCTGAATAATATTATTTCTACGTTATTGCATACATTTTCATAATTTAAATCATTCAGGTCCTTGGGTAGATTCCTGGATGCCTGGTTGTGGATGCGTATGGCTGAGGAGTCTCATACTAGGACAGGACAGCCATTCAGTGTCTTCCGGATTTCATTGGTGATCTAGCTAAGTTCCGTCCGTGATATTAATAATGAAATTTATATAATCTCCACATACCAACGTATGCCAATAATATTTAAATGATATATTCTGGCCATCATCATATACGTGGGTTTAAAAGTTTGTTCATAGCATTCCTAATGTTACTCACTTTGTGATGTTGGAAAACTGTGGTTTTTCGGCACAACACAGCAGTTCATTTGCGGTGGTTATTATTACCTTGAGCTTCTCATCTCTCTAGTATTCTGTTGACCTTAATCAAACCACCTAACAAACGATTATTTTATTGCTTTGCTGCAAAGACTGGGCGAACAAAGTCTGGGATAAATTACTGAGATTTCGGAAGTCATTGTTCTAAATCTTTGAATACTAAAAGCATCAGGTACCGTATTTCGTGAACGGTATTGTCGAATTATTTTGAAAAATCGTCTTATACGACAAAACTGTATAATAAAAGTAGTATATGATTATGCAATAACTAGTGTGAATTTCGGTATAGGCTCAAAAGTATGTAATTTGCAATGTCAGCGAAACGAAATAGTTTTATCAACTTCTGTTCCAATGCAGAATGGACATGAGATAACGATATTTTCGGCTTAATAATATTTCTTCTAAGTGAATCGAATACATATCTAGATATATTTCTGCTAGAACCCAAAATTTGTGACGAAAAGTGGTAGTACTAATGATTAAAAGTCAATAAAGTGGGGTATCACAGATAAATTTTATCAATATAGGATTTGGCTTAAGCTTATTAACCTTTTTTGCCACATTTCATGCTAACATAGTCAAAGGATATGTGTAAACTAAATATGAAACACAACAATTATGACGAATATAGTATTAAAAATGTCTTAATACGGAGATTTTCATACGTTAAAGAAAGAAGAAGTCTATGTTCATGTTTTTCCGTCAGCAATCTTGAGTCAGATCATTTGAAGTCTGGAACTACTGATTATGATAATTTCTATGTATTAAATGAGAATTCCTCTATTTGATTGTTATAAAATTATTCTTGGTTTTGAATTCCCCTCACCTTTAGAAATTGATGTGTAAGAAGATATAAATGTAGTGATTTTTAAATTTCAGATTCATGCTAACTGTCGCATACGCAGAGTTTACTTTTGTGACCGGTTATATTCAGAAAGCGAGCTACCTCCCGAATTCAAATTGTATCTTCCAGTTCAACAAAAGGTGGCTGCTTCCTAATCTTGCGACAACTTACTTTAAAATATGTTTTAAATATTTAGGAAACGACACAACAAGAAACTCACCCAGTGTCCATGTGAAATGTAATTGTAAAGCGAGTTAAATAAATAATAGCTCAGAAATCTTTTTTTTTTGTGTTTACCAGTTTACAGAATGTTAAATTTGTGGTATGGATACTTATCAAGGCTTTTGAATACCGTTTTTATAGTTTATCTACTCACAGTTAGAAAGCAAGACGCTTATAAAATCATCGTAACGAGCAAGTCATGTAAATCTATCTATTTCACACTAAACTAAGCAGTGACATGGCTAATTGAATAAAAGTATGTACGCTGAAAGCAACACCAAATCAAGGTCACTATAATGCTGAATTTTACTTTCATCAAGCATTCAAAAGTTCAAGGATGTAACCATATGATTACAACTACGAAGGATTGTTGAGAGCTTGGCTCTTCAGAATCATGCTTTTATTCGTTTGGAAGTAATGAATTAAGGATGAATAGTTGTTTCACATGACTCGAGCTCATGTGTCAAAAATATGATGTGGTATTGTGTTTATCACTTGGCTCATTCAAAGTAATAGTTGTGGCTCAATGACTTGCTTTCAATATAAAAAGCAAAACATCTGCTACAGCATTTGCAAACCTCATAAATAAGTGTGTCGAATGTCAATCCAGGCCATAAGTAATGCACACTGCAAATATGAAAACATATAACTCAGCGTAGAAGTTTATTCCAGTAAGAAGACATGGAGCACGGTTGACTGTTGATAAGTCCCAGAAAGCCTTTAGATTAGTCAATGATATTACATATATTATTTATGCGTTGCATACAGTTAGGAGTAATTAAGCGATATCATTTGTTTTACCTAGTTGTCATCAGGTGAGCTTACAAAACGATGGAAAGGGGGAGAATTTTCTGTGATACCGGAAATTTTCATGAGATACGAACCTTTATAAAATTAAAATGAGCATTGTATCAGCGCTGCATTTGTTTCTAATTGACATGGACAAAATCTATACTACTGAACGTGAAGATGGTTTCTAAGTAATGAAACATGATTCAAGGTTGCACGAGAAACTGATAAAGATCGATCAGTTTAGCTACGGGGGAAAAGATGCCTAAATTCTCATATTTTCTATTCCAAACCATTTCATACCGATGGAAAAACTAAATATCGATTATTTTATAAAATTGCAGCCGTATGTGTGTTATAGTAGCATATTACCGAGATGAGACGTTGGACCAACGTTCATCCAAGTTAAATTTGTAACGTTTATCTTCGAATTCGAAAATATCATTGTATACTGATATGAAAAATTGTTTTGAAAATTTCAAGTTACTGAACTTCGGAAAGTGATCGCGTCTTTGAGGCAGATCAACTGTATCTTGATAAAACCTTTTTGAATACATTGACAGTAAACATTTTTGGCATATTACACGTTTGCAAAATTAATTTTTCCCGTCTGTCAGTTTGTTTTAACGTTAAAGCGCAAAAATATGATTTAAATGGAACTCTTCGTAAATATTCGAAACAACATTTCTGTGCAAAAAAGTTTATATTAATATAAGTGTTCCATGTAGAGACTATTCACACCGTTTTATGATAACTGATGAATTGGTATTCCGTTCCAAGTCAAAGAATCAACATAAAAACTAGTGAGGTTAGAAAACGAAATTGAACTATTATTCACAATTTCTACAATCTTTGTTTACTTTGTAAGATTTCAGAACATTGATAATTTCTTGCTTGAGACTTCAAGAAAAGTAAAAAACATACATACAATTCACTAGAAATTTTTCCGTAATTATGTGAATTGGGAATAAAAGAATGATAGTAGGATTTATTACGTCTCTTCTATTCCGGATTATTTTTCGTGGCATCACCTTCGAATTACAAATGTTAGTGACTTTAAGCACTACAAAACTAGGTGACAAAAGTTTAAAACCAAGGAAAGTAAAAAAATAAAAGGTGATTTGGTTTTGCAAACTTTATTTCATTAGCTGCCAGTTTTCGCGAATGAATTTTTTGTTGCTGGTGTCTAGTGATTGACGATTTTCTTTCGAATCGCTGAGAAGACAAACTAGTTTGTTTACTGTTGACGTATTAAAAAAGAGACTAAAAATAAAGAAATTACTGGTTTTCGAGCCAAACCATATAATAGTTTTTCCACGTTGTTTATTATGCATCTTATGGGGGGAAATTTGAAGTAGCAATGTTAATGTGCGTACATATCTATGCGAGGAACCATATCAGCTATAACTGATATATATATATATATATATATATATATATATATATATATACCTGTGAAGGGCATCCGCTTTCAATGAAAGTGCACAGAAGATTCCGAAAGACAACTTCTAATATACATTCAGATACTGTTATTGGAGTCAGTGCAAAATCACAAACAAATTTCCAGTCTTAAGACATAAGGTTCGGTGTGCTGCAGAGATTTATAGTAATTCTGAGATTTTTAAGTGCTGTTTACTTCAGTGAAGGTCGAAAGACTAAACGCTTTGCGTTTCTAATCATTCATAGTAGTATTCTGATTAAACAAACAAAGTGCAATTTAAAAAATATTGATTTGTAACATTAACTTAATTCGCTGAGGATCGATCAGTGGTTGCGTGAATTTCTGAGTGGCTCACGTGAACCAGTGTTCAATTATTTAGAGAATATGAGGAAACTCGTCCTCATAAGGTCATTTTAACAAATGAGGTTTAAGTAGATAAAAGTAGTGACATCATGTTTACCATAATCGCGAGTACCAGTGTTTTAATATTAGTGTGAATATAATTTTATTTGCAAGCTACGCATATAATTAATTTCTGGGAATAACTACTGAAGATCCTTTTTGAAAAAATGATAGACTACGACTGCTACATGACCGTTAAATAAGATCTTACTTTTTTAGATTGGTGCACTTTGATATGAAGCATTTGTGTAAAAACTTGGAAATTCAGAAATTACAAACATTCAGGCAACAATGCACAAGTCGCATTAGTTGAAAAATTTTTTTAAAATGTTGAGGTTGATTATTTATCGCTTCTTACAGATACTACTTACTAATAGAAGTAGTTAAGATTTATTTGCAAAATTCTAGGATTCAGAAATTTTGCTTTTAAAAATCAGTGCCAGCTTTATTAAAAATATGAATTGGCTCAACTGTTCGGAAATCCTGTCTCTACAGTAGTATTGTTTTGAAATTACAAACAGTGAATATAGTGAGTTAGGAGCACTGGTAGACTATCTTTTGATTTCAGTAACTACTAAGTTAATCAATAGTCACTGTTTAGCTTATGCTTACGATAAAAAGCTTTAATTTAGCAGATAGGATATTTTCACTTATAATAGACAGGAAATATTATGTCCAACTGGAATAAAAATTCCATTCAAGTTGTAGATATACATATCTTTCTACGGCTTCCTTAAAGAATGTGGTCTAGTTTGGTTTCAAAATCAATCTATTCTAAAGGAACTCAGGTCCCGTTCTGCTGGATGCCTTCATCCAAGCATGTGTTAAGTTCGCGTTCCCTAGGGTACATAATAATAACTATTTTGACTCCAACAAGCACTCTTCCCTTGAACTTTCAAGTTTATATCTATGATGCAAGGTTATTCTTAGTTTCTGTTGAATTATAGTTTATCAGCAACTATTCAGAATTATCAGGGACCTATGTGAGTAATTTCATAGTGGCCAATTTCGCGTGACAAGTTTTCAAACTGCGCATAGTAGCCTTTAAAAGTCCAAAGACGATTCTCATTTGACATTTGATATTAAAATACTTGAATTCCCACTTTGTAAGCCTTTGTGCAGTAGTTTCATGGCTTTCGATTTTCAACTTGACCACACTGAAAAGTAACAATAAAAATTTACTAATTTCAGGCTTTGGTAATCCGGGAATATCTATTTTTTTTGCTGTTTATTTTCAGTTATGTTTGATGTGAATCGGTTTGTGCATTCCGAAAGTAGTATTATAATGTGGCGTATACTGGATCGTATGAGTAGAGTGTAAGCTTTTTTCTGTCAAATGGGCTTAAAGTACAACAAGAAAGTTTCATAACTAACAGTTGATGAATAATTGAGGAATATGTTTTAAGCAAACAATACATGGGTTCGATATTTATAATCTTTGGAGTGAATCTCAGTACACTTGCCACTATTCATCCATTCAACAGATTTAATAGTTACACTTATTCCATTTCAAATAAATCAGTTTTTACCACAGAATGATATCGAGATTCAAATGCAACGTTTCATTTTTCCACATATCCCTTTTTGCTAACTGTGAAACTTTACAAAATGAAACTGTTTATCTGTCAACTAGTTGAAAAATAAGCCAACAGTAAATATTGAAGTTAACTTCACTTCAATAACGAGAGTGATTTCTGTACTAAAGGATTATTTAATTAAGCTATTGACAGTCTTTGCTAAAGCATTTTGTGAAGTCATTCCTAACTGAGAAGAGTAACCTTTTATTAATTAACGTTACTAGATTTGTATCATTTTAAAGCATAGAAAGAATTTCTGCATGAAAATCATTTCGAAAGTTAGAAGATATTAAAACTAATGGAATGTCCAAAAAATAAAAAATCAAACAATAATAATGAGAAACATTTAAGAAGGAATGAAATTAGTTTGTCCATAAATGAAAGCACCGACGTTCAAGGAAATCACATTCCCAATGGATACGTCATTTATTCAGTTGAAAATAATTAACATTAAAGGTTAAACATGTAACTAGATTAATAGACGTATAAGTGAAGATAATTGATAATTGATGATTGAAGATTTAAGTATAAAGTTTATGTCCTGGTGAGACCAAAAATGCTCACTGAAAAACCCTCTATCCATTTAATTTTGTTTGTGTATTTGTATTCACCCTTCTCTTAACTAGTGACGATTCCATTCTACTTTCAATTTATTACGCTTCATATCTGCGTGTTCCTTCTTAACATATTTTTTGTCTCTATTCACTTGAGAGTTTGTGCAAAAATTATAATATTTTATGAAATTCGATAAAAATAATCAGGTAGATGATACGCTAATCAATAATGAAGCAGCTATTGCTAGTAAATACATTCTAAATTCAATATCTTTGTTCATTTTGTTTT